ACGTCATTCTAAGTGTATTTTAATATTAATATATATACTAATATTAGTATTAAAATACACTTTGTATCTTCCGGCTCCGGTATCAGTGCGGTGCGCGAGGAAGCTGAAGAGGAAGAACTCAGGGGATAGTGCTCCCTCCAGCCCGGTGATACAAGGGCCAGCCTCGGGGGGCACTGTATGTGTGTGTGTGTGTGTGTATGTATATATATATATATATATATATATATAAAAATACTTTTAATTTTAAACATGTTTAATATTTTTTTTTTTTTTACACTTTCCATCAGCAAGGGTACTGTCTGACAGCTCAGACAGTCCCCCTGCTAGCAGATTCACAGCCAGCTATAGAGGGCCATGTGATCGCTCTTTGAGAGCGATCACATGGCCCCCGGGGGCCTAATTTGCCGTGGGAGGGCTGCCTGGGATGTCAGGCAGCCCTCCAGAAGAGGATCATGGCGGAGGTAAGTAAATCTTACCTCCCCCGGGCTTAAGCCGTTACGGCGTTCTATGCCGCCACAACGGCTTTAAAGTCCTTTAAAGCTGCGACGGCATAGAACGCCGTAACGGCGTTAAGGGGTTAACAAAATTTACTTAATTATGTAAAAATATTACATAAATACGCACGTAGAATTTAAATATATATGCATTTTTATATATTTGAAGTCTACGTGTATATTTATATAATTATTTATGTAATTTTGTATATGGACATATGTATATTTTGTATTTTTATTTATTTATATATACATAGATATAGATATATACACAATTTCATTCTAAGTGTATTTTGATATAAATATATATATTACTATCAAAATACAGTTAGAATAAAATTTCATATAGATATATAATTTTTTAACATTTTTATTATTATTTTTAATTATTTTTATTTATTTTAATCTACTTATTATTTGTATTTTATAATATATATATATATATATATATATATATACACAATATATAGTTATTATATATATTTTATATATATATACACACATAATTTTTTTTTTTTTATTAACGTTAACTTTTGTATTTTTTTTATTTATTTTACACTAGCAGGGAGACTGCCTGTCAGCGACCCCTGCGACCGCAGTATGTACACCAGTGCATGCAGATACACATACACTTAAAGGACCACTACAGACACCCAGATCACATAAGCTCAATGAAGTGGTCTGGGTGCCAGGTCCCTCTAGTGTTAACCCTGCAGCTGAAAACATAGCGGTTTCTGAGAAACTGCTATGTTTTACTGAGGGTTAATCCAGCCTCTAGTGGCTGTCTCATTGACAGCCGCTAGAGGAGCTTCCACGATTCTCACTGTGACGCTGAACGTCCATAGGAAAGCACTGAGTAATGCTTTCCTATGGGCGGTTTGAATGCGCAAGCGGCTCTTGCCATGCATGCGCATTTGGAGCTGAGAGGCGGATCGGGGCAGAGAGATCCCCAGCGCCAAGGGAGTCCGGCGCTGGAGAAAGGTAAGTGCTTAAGACACACACACACACTCTCACGAACAGATGCATACACACTAGCTAACAGACACACACACACACTCTCACAAACAGACGCATACACACTAGCTAACAGACACACACTCAGTGACAGACATACATACACACTCACTTACAAAACATACACTCACTAACAGACGCACACAAACTAACACACTCAGTAACAGACACACAGTAACACTAACACACACACTCTAGCATACACTAACACTAACACACACACTCTAACACACACACTAACACACACATTCTAACACTATCACACACTTGTTTTTTTTTTTAATTTAACCCCCCAGCCTCCTTACCTTTTGGAGTGCTGAGGGGATTTCTTGGGGTCCAGTGGTGTCACCGGGCAGGCAGGCTGGCGGGCGCGCGAAGGAGCACTCTCCCCTGTGTGCTCCCTCTTCAGTTCCCTCGCACGCCGCGTACTGATTGCGGAGCCGGAAGATGACGTCATCTTCCGGCTCCAGTATCAGTGCGGTGCGCGAGGGAGCTGAAGAGGAAGCACTCAGGGGCAGGGCTGGACTGGGAAAAAAATTAGGCCCGGGCATTTTTCAATTAGAGCGGCCCCCCAAGAAGGGGGTGGGGCCAGAGAGGGTGTGTTTGTCATCACTAATGACAAGTACACCCCCTCTGAAAGTGAGCATGTTGGTTCAATGCGCAGAGCCCCGCTGAAGAGCTCTAGCATTAGAAAAAGGCCCTGTATTTGTTCTGCGCAGCGCAAGCAAATGTAATAACATGCTTGCGCTGTGTTTGCTTTTAAATTGGCTCTGGTGTCTCCACAAGTGGGATACCAGAGGATAAAAGGGCCAGGAAAGTGTATGGTGCATGTGTTTGGCGCATGCTTGAGGGATTGCCTGTGTGTACAGTGTGGTGTGGTATTGTGCAAATAGGTCAATTTTGTGGTGTAATATGTGTGGCTAGGGGCTGTAGAGAGTGCATGTATAGGGGCATAGTGTTATAGGGGATGTAGCGAGTGTGTGCATACGGGCAGTAGTGTGCGTGTATAGGTGACGTAGTGTGTGTCACTTATACACACACACTACTGTGTGTAGAGAGGGTGTGTTTAGAGAATGTTGTATGTGTTTGCAGTGTGTGTGTAAGAGCTCTAGTGTGTAAAGGACCCAGAGTGTGTATAGAAGATTGTGTGTGTGTGTGTGTAGAGGATTAAGAGTGCATATAGGGTAAGGGATCTAGCGTGTATCTGGAGCGTAATGTGTGTAGTGGTGCAGTGTGAGGGGTGCTGTAGTGTGTGTGTGTGTATGTGTGTATATATATATATATATATATATATATATTTGGACGTATTGTATGTGTGAGGTGCGCAGCGTGTTTGTGTAAGAGGAGTGCTGTGTGTGAGGGTGTTTTTATCTGCCGTCACATTCTGGGTTTCTAATTTTATTTGTCTGTTAACTCACTGAGGGTTATTTTATATAATATATATGTGCTGTATATGTGTGGGAGTGAGGGTGCTGTCTGTCTGAGGGTGTTGTGTGCGTCTGGGGGTGTTGTGTGCGTCTGGGGATGCTGTGTGCGTCTGGGGGTGCTGTGTGTGTCTGTGGGGTGCTGTGTATGTCTGTGGGGTGCTGTGTGTGTCTGGGTGCTGTGTGTGTGTCTGGGTATCTGGGGGTGCTGTGTGTGTCTGGGGGTGCTGTGTGTGTCTGGGTGCTGGGTGTGCTGTGTGTGTGTATCTGGGGGTGCTGTGTGTGTGTCTGGGTGCTGTGTGTGTCTGGGGGTGCTGTGTGTGTCTGGGGATGCTGTGTGTGTGTGTGGATGCTGTGTGTGTGTCTGGGTGCTGTGTGTGTCTGGGGGTGCTGTGTGTGAGGGGCTGTATGTGTCTGGGGTGGTGTGTGTGTCTGGGGGTGCTGTGTGTGTTTCTGGGGGTGGTGTGTGTGTCTGGGGGTGCTGTGTGTGTCTGGGTGCTGTGTGTGTCTGGGGGTGCTGTGTGTGTGTGTGGGGCTGTGTGTGTCTGGGGGGCTGTGTGTGTCTGGGGGTGCTGTGTGTGTGTCTGGGGGTGCTGTGTGTGTCTGGGGGGGCTGTGTGTGTCGGGGTGGGCTGTTAGGGTAATTATTTTAAATATATATATTTTTTATTTTATTAATAATTATAATATTATAATAATTATTAATAATTAAAAAAAAAAAGTTATGCCCCCCTCCTTCTTACCTTTAGCCTGGGAGGGGGGGAGCCGTGTTGCCATGAGGGGGGGCCATGCTGTCATGCTTCCCTGGTGGTCCAGTGTTGAGAGTGAACTCCAGCCTGCAGGCTAAAGTTCACTTTCGCGAGATCTGAGCGTTGCCGTGGTAACCGCGGCAACGCTCAGAATCCCGCTAGAGGACCCGGCGGAGCTGCTTGTTAGAGCTCTGCCGGGTCCTCTCTCCTGCCTCCCTCCCTCACTCCCCAGCCTGCGGCCGCCTGTAACAGTGCCTGTGGGCTGGTGAGGGAGATCTGTGATCTCCCCACCGGCCCATGGAGGCACACAGCAGGGCTGGCGCTCGGATAGCGCTGGCCCTGCAGGGGCTGGCAGTGGAGATCCTGTGATCTCCCCTGCCGGCCTCGGCCCCACGGCCATCGCGGCCCACCGGGCATTTGCCCGGTATGCCCGATTGCCAGTCCGGGCCTGCTCAGGGGAGAGTGCTCCCTCGCGCGCCTGCCAGCCCGGTGATACCAGGGCCAGCCTCGGGGGGCCCTGAGGTGTCCGGCTCCTGGGCCCCCCAGGAGAAGAGGCTGGCCACAGTGGGTACATACCGAGTCGCAGGGCGGCCGGGCCCCTTGGTACTGGGTCAATGCTCCGCCCCCTCCTTTGGGCAGGCACTTATGCACATTAGTGATGTCCTGAACGGTTCGCGAACGGTTCGCCACGGACTCATCATTGAGTAAACTTTGACCCTGTACCTCACAGTCAGCAGACACATTCCAGCCAATCAGCAGCAGACCCTCCCACCTCCTGGACAGCATCCATTTTACATTCATTGTGAAGCTGCATTCTTAGTGAGCTGTCCAGGAGGTGGGAGGGTCTGGGAGGGAGGGTGTGCTGCTGATTGGCTGGAATGTGTCTGCTGACTGTGAGGTACAGGGTCAAAGTTTACTCAATGATGAGTCCGCGGCAAACCGTTCGCCACGAACCGTTCGGGACATCACTAATGCACATACATGCGCATTAGACCTGCCCGTAGGAAAGCACTGAATCAGTTCTTTCCTATGGGGAAAAATCTGATGCTGAGTGTCGTAATGTAGAGCGTGAGGAGATCTGGCATCAGATACCGGACCAAGGGTCTGTTTCGATCCAGGAAGCCCTCTAGGGGCTGTCTGGTAGACAGTCAATACAGGCTGACTTAGTGCTGCAATCTAAACATTGCAGTTTCTCTGGAACTACAATGTTTAACATTGCAGCACTAGGTGCCAAAGGGACACAGCACCCAGACCACTTCAATGAGTTGAAGTAGTTTGGGTGCCTACAGTGTCCCTTTAAGGGGGTTTACCATATAGAGGCTAAAACCAAGGTTTGCTCATTCATTTTAATTAGCAGCTGTTTAAGTAGTCCCCCTAAATATCAGTATTCAAATGGTTCCATATGTCAAAACTAAAGTAGTTTCTTCAATCCACATAAATCAAGAGGCTATCCTTCCAGCACTATTCCCTCATCCAAAAATTAGATGACATAACATGGACTTGGTTAGAGTGCTCTCTACTTATTACACACTCATCTGCAAAAGTCATTACACCTTTTTGCACACCCACGGGTGGGAATTAAAAGGCTGGATGGCCACCGGCAGCAACCGTGCATGTATAATGAGACTGTGTAGGCTCCTTCACGAGGGCTATGTTTGCGTCAAATAGTTTGCGGGTGCGGTCATATAGATTGGCGATGTCTTGTTTGGTGGAGAGAGCTGAGGTAGGCGGGCATGCTGGTGGTTGATGGGTTGCGGGGTTGACTGACCTCAACGTCCGCTGGGTCCGTGTAGGCCTCCCTTTTGGCAGACTCAGGCGTTTCAATTGCGTGGTGCCTGTGAGTAACTTGCCAATGTCTCTTGCTATGTAGAACACAGTGGCCGTGGTCTTCAGCTTTTTGCGTCCCATATCCGATGGTGAGAATGCCCATTGCACCACAAAATCAGTTCAACATCCATGCCCACCTTTTCCTGGTTTTATAATGGATATTGATGTTATGCTAATCAGTAGCTCTTTGCCATACCCACTCCTTCACAGCTCTGACTTTCAATGTTGTCAGAGCGCAGGCTGAGAATCTGAGCCTGTGCTCCGACTCACTAACTGAGCGCCGGAACCATCAGGGAGAGGCTATAATCTGACTGCACCTACTGCTGGTGCGCACCCGTGGACCACCAGCGAATCGTTTAATTGAATATGCTGGTGTCCCCAACTTGTGAGCTTTGTTGGCCACCGGGCGCCTCTGTTGTCATGGCACCCTGCGTGACCGCACAGCTTGCACACCCCAACGGCTGGCCCTGCTGTCACACACTGATGTTACTACTTAGATATCCCTCAATATTAATACAGACATCAGAGTAAACACCAATAAACTGTGGAAACAGAGCTGACACCCTCCCCCCCCCAACTTGATAAATATTTGCTTACTGGTTATGTTGTAAGATTAAATCATGCCTCCTCCTCTCTCTCTCCCATGCGCTTCTCTGTAGGCTGGGAGGAAGTGAAGAGTAATCACAATCTCCCAGCACAGCGGCACCTGTGGCTGCATGGGGAACAGCTGAATTGGCCGCCCCCATGTGACATCACAATGCCCCACCCATATGATCTGCCATATGAACTAACGCCAGTGCTGCACACAGTGCGTGTTTACATTAAAAAGCCTGCAGGGACCGGCTACAGACACCAGAACCACTTCATTAAGCTGAAGTGGTTCTGGGAACTATAGTGTCCCTTTAATATGAGGTAAATTATAGATTAGTGTCACTGATAATATACTAGATTGCCTACTTACAACAAGATGAGGATGATGATGGGCTGCAGTTTGGCACCACTGATCTGGTGTAGAACAGGATCTCTGGAGGCTGTTTGCAACTGTGGTCACAAAATGTAATGTTCTGGGAGAATTGGAAGCAGCTCCATTTTTTGGGGGCCCCTTACACAGCTCAAGGTCTGGGCCACAGGGCCTGACGGTGAGTATGCCCACCTGAATTTCCTCTTTCAAAGGTAGGAAACTGAAGTGTGTCTGTCTGTGTGTGCGTCAGTTTGTATGTCTGTCTGTGTGTCAGTTTGTATGTATGTGTGTGTGTCAGTATGTCTGTGTGTGTGTCAGTATGTATGTGTCAGTCAGTATATGTCTGTGTGTCAGTTTGTATGTTTATGTGTGTGTCAGTATGTATATCTGTGTGTATGTCAGTATGTCTGTGTATGTGTCAGTATGTTTGTCTGTCACAGTGTCTGTGTCTGTGTGTGTGTGTGTGTGTGTGTCGGTGTGTATCTGTATGTTGTCAGTATGTATGTATCTGTGTGTGTGTGCCAGTGTGTATACCTGTGCATGTATCTGTATGTAGCCAATGTGTGCATCTGCATGTGTGTCAGTGTTTGTATCTGCATTTGTCAGGTTATGTATCTGTGTGTCTGTATGTTGTCATTGTGTGTGTCTGTGTATCTGTATGTTGTCAGTGTATCTGCGTGTGTGTGCGTGTGTGCATCTGTGTGTCTGCATGTGTGCCAGGTTGTGTGTCTGTATGTGTGTGTGTCAGTGTGTGTAAATGTGTCTGTATAGCTGCATCTGTATGATTGTGCATATCTGTGTATCTGCAAGTGTTTCTGTGTGTGTATGTGTATCACAGTGTGTGTGTGTTTGTGACAGTGCATGTGTATTTGTGCATACATCTCAGCATTCAACACTACACACAAATACACACCTGCATTCAAACTTCAACACTACATATAAACACACCTCTTTTTTAACAACAAAATTATATATAAACACACCAGTGTATTCATAAACCAACACTACACATAAATGCATACTTGCATTTAAATGCCATCTCCACATACAAACACACCCCTACATTCACACAAACATACTCCATACAAAAACACTCAAACACACAAATACTGCTCAGTGCTAAATATAACCCTGCATGCATGGGAAAATGGTAGCGCCCCAGCTGTCAAAGCATTGTTGGAGTTGCATGACAGATGGGGATCTACCTTTTGCCCCCTCTTGCCCAAAATAATTCATGCACCAGAGCCCTCTCTACTTTACGTCCGCCTCTGCGTTGGGGTGGGGGGCATGATTGCATGCCAGGGAGGGGACGACCGGGTTCAGGGGGCCCAAGCAAATGTTTGCCCAGGGTCCAATCCATATTAAAGACGGCCCTGCCCATGAGTTCGCTCACAGGGAGTGGAGTTTGTTGGGGATGTGTTATGTGTTATTGTAGAGGATCTAATATGTGTGCTTATGGTATGTAGTGTATAGGGTTTGTGTAGGTGATGCAGTGTGTTTGTGTGTAGTGGAACAGTGTGTATTTGTTTATAAGGGATGTATTGTGTGTTTCTGGTTGTGTGTAAGGGATGCATTGCATGAATCTGTGTTTGTTTGCATAAGGGATGCAAGGTGTGTGTCTGTATGTGTGTGCATTGAGTGTGTGTAAGAGATGCATTGTGTTTCTGTGTGTATGTTAGAAAAGCAGTGTGTGTGTTTGCATGTGTGTGTAAGGTAAGGGTTTGCATTGTGTGTTTCTGTGTATGTGTGCAAAGAATGCATTGTGTGTTTCTCTGTGTGTAAGGGAAGCATGTTGTGTTTCTGTGTGTGTAGGGATGCATTGTGTGTGTGCGCGTAGTGTGAAAGAGCTCCTTGTCTTGACCCCTGTCCTATAGAGCTGTCCCTTCGAGTTCTCCCCTGCCCCTTAGTGGTCTCTCCTCTCCCCCACCCTCCCCTAGCGGTCTCTTCTCACACTCACCCACCTTCCCTGTGCTCTTTTCATCCCCCCTGCACCCTACATGTGTTCTTCTCACCTCCCCCCTCCCTGTGTTCTCCTCACCTCCCCCCTCCCTGTGTTCTTCTCATCTCCCCCCTCTTCTCCCTGTGTCTTCCTCATCTCCCCTTCTCCTCAACCCCTCCCTGTGTTCTCTTCTTACCCCCTCTCCTCCCTGTGTCCTCCCTCACCTTCCCCCCCCTGTGTTCTCCTCACCACCCACCCCTCCTCCTTGTGTTCTTCTTACCCGCTGTTCATACCCCCTTCTTCTTCTTACCCCTCTCCTTCTGTTACCCTCCTTCTGTTACCCCTTCTGTCACTTCTGTAAGCGTGACAGCTTCTCCGTCCTGGTCGGAGGATAGGAAGGTGCACACTCAATGTGCACTTCCCGCCAGTCCGGCCGGGTACAGGAAACTGAAACTCCGCGCGGAACAGGAGTTTCTGTTTCCTGTACCCGGCCGGACTTAGAGGAAATGCACAGTGAGTGTGCACCTTCCTATCACTCCGGCCGGACACCGCGGACCGGAGAGGAGCTCGGCCACGCTACAGGGAAGAGGTGGAGAAAAGCAGCTGCAGCTGCAGCTGCCTGAGGCTCTTAACAGAGCGTTCAGACGGCTGCAGAATTAGGACCGGCCCTGCAGCGGCTGGTCTTAAAATAATTTAGGGCGGCCTGGGGGCAATTGCCTCCATGCCCCCCGGCCCAGCCCGCCCCTGGCGTCTGATCCTTCTAGATGCCTGACCCAGCCCCCATAAATAAAGTGATTTTATGTCTAAATGGCAAAGAATCGAGCAATGAAGCTCAGGGGGGAATAATCTTTACACCAAAACCATTTAAATTCTGCAATACAGCTATAGTGTTTTATATGAACAGGATGCAATTCCTGAGAGATTACCTGTTGCCATTTTGGATTTCTCTCTCTGGAAACAAGAAAAATGTATTTCAAAGTTAAAACACCTGCAATATGTGTCGCATGATTGAAATACAAGACTATCCACTCTCCCCCCTCCAAAAAAACCCAAACCTACTACACTAGAATACACACGGCCTGCCTGGGACATTCTGTGTGTTCAGTACCAATCAAGTGTTAGCATGAAGGTGCCAAGTATTGCATGATGTATTGTTCCTTTGAACACCATATGTGTAGTCTTTTCTGCTATGGGGATAATGTGCAACAAAGGTTTAACAGATAAGAATAAATAAGGTGGTGGGGCCTGGAAGCCATGCTGAGTGACTGCACATAGTGTGAGCTCCAAACAAAAACTCTCTAAAAAGTGTGTTTCTCCTGTCTTACAAACCATCTTGCAGTGGAGCTATCAAGCTTTCACCTGAGGCACTTCTGGAAGTGTTGGCTGCTCCACTGCACGTGGATGTGGCAATACAATTGCAGGTGTTTTTTTTAGTATAAACTGAGATTTCTCTGCAATACCAGCACCAGCCAGTAGGGGTCACTGTGTGTGGAGAGAGGCAGGGATAGGAAGTTACAGCATATCCCTGCCTCTCTCTACTACTCACATTGCATAAAAAATAACAATTTATTACATGTATTGCATTTACAATGTTTCAAAACAACAGCAGCATATCTCCACACCAGGTGGTATCCACGTGTTTCAGCTAGTCCAATCACAACAAAAGATTGCAAACAGTACCAGCAACAATAAAATAAAAAGTAAAAGTTCGTATGAACAAATACAGTTCCAACGCGTTTCGTCCTCTTCTGGCCTTCCAATCGAATCAGAGCCACACATCCCTGAGGAAGTCCAGAAGAGGATGAAACGCGTTGGAACTGTTTATTTGTTCATAGATTGGACAAGCTGAAACACTTGGATTCCACCTGGTGTGGAGATATACTGCTGTTATTTTGAAACATTGTAAGTGCAATACATGTAATAAATTGTTATTTTTTTATACAATCTGCACTATCATTTTTTTTTCTACCTTCTATTTGTAGTGAGCCAGAAGACCTGTTACTTTCTATCCAGAATTTCATCGCTGGAGGTCCCTCACACTTCTCTAATTCCCTAATATCAACGGAGATATGCCTGAATTCATCTTAATCTTGTGAGTTCTCTACCACCCTAACCCTTTATATGTTTTAATGGTATTACACTTTATATTTCTTCCTATAGATATATTTCTAAGGCAGAATACATCTACGTGATCCAGTTTGTATTATTTCTTATCACTTTGTGGTGAACCACAGTTTTTTTCCCTTTGTTTTTTTTCTTTTCTTTTTCACTATTGTATTTTGAGTGCCTGTAAGGGAACATTCTAAAAACCTTGGGTACTCTGTGTATTATAGCACTAACAGTTAACTCTTTGTTTTATGTATTAAAGCAACTATATCTGTCCTCTATTCAGGACGGGGTGCTCTGGATCGCTATTAACCGGAATCTACCGCTAGATTTCTCTGTGGTGACTGTGCGGCCTGGTGGATCGCTGGGCGGGAGAGGCAGCCGCTCTTATTAGTCCGTGATGCATTGACACCGCTGAGGTTCATCTACAGTCCCGTCCTCGTCCTCCCAGGGATAAGCGCACTAACAGATGGCAGACGCCATAGGTCTGACCAGGGTGGGCCCGACGCTAAGGCATGCACCTCCACCCAGCACTCTAGAACAAACCCTTATAAAGCTGGAGGACATTTTCAGGCAACACTAGAGGCACGTTCAGCAGCACAATCACACGTACCTCTGGCATAACACCTGTGACATCTACCATATCTCTTGCTAGCCTGCCCGGGCAGAAGACCTATAGGGGTGTGGCCCCGACGCATCATCCACACCAGCGGAGGAACAACCTCCTGCTCTTCTTTGCACAGGAGGGAGTTTGTGGCCTAGAGATGCCAGCCTATGTACCAGCTTGGGGTAGAGGGGGACACCTGTTCCAGCATCTGCCGTCTGTTACCGTCCTGATGGTCCCTGTAGCTTCCCATTATCAGGAATTGCATTAAAGTGGACTCACTATATTAAAGCCTGCTGCTTAAGATCTAATCTCTCATGCTCTTACTGTACACCATCTTGCGCTCATGTTTTTATTTACTTTAAGACCGGTTGTTTTTTTTAATTTTCTTTCAATTATGATTGGGGTGCTTTCTTGATGGTCTGCTCAGTCTCAGTGGTATATTTTACTTATTCATATTAGTCTCCTGTGTTTTAGGTGTGTATTATAATCCACATCTGGCTTGCCCTCACAAGTCTGATTTGAATGTGGACATGTCAGTCTAACCCGTTATAAAAACCTGCCATTAATATACAAAAAATAAGGCATTGCCAATCGTTTTTGAACTACTGTATACTGCCAGTATATTACATCTTGAATCCTTCATTGCTTGTCATGTTACTCGACTAACCTCATTAAAATCAAATGACAAAAAAAATCTAATCCTTAAAGCCTCAGTCACCCTCATTTATATTCTAGTTATGAATACCAGCCTGCAGAGGCAAACCTAGTGCACATATAACCTTAATTTTAGTAATAACAGAAGGCAAATATTTTGCATAACTCTCTTCACGAAAAACTCCAGCAGCACAGATCATAAACAGAACCAATAAAAAAAAACAAAAAAAAAAAAAAACAGCTAGACATTCCATAAACGACCCTGCCAGTCTAAGGTAACAATAAAGAAAGAAAAAGTAAAACAAGTTATAAGGAACCATGAAAAAGAACATGTTCCCATTATTTGGAAGTTTGGTGTCGATCACCCGTAGCTGCTTTGGATCGTTCAGCACACAGTGCATCGTTAGTATTGTCCAACACAAACTGGCATTTGGCCCATTCACGACTGGCACTCAGATCCAAGTGCGTGCCTCAGGAAAGTGCCAGTGTAGAAAAGTATAGTATTTAAGCTAGCTGACTGAGTAGAGCCAGCAGTGTATTCTATGTAGCCCTAAGTCCCGCACTCAATTTCTATACTGTATCAAGGCCCGATCTGGACATATAGACCATTATTATGGTGTCAAACTCAGGGGGCATTGGCGAGTTCATCAGGCAGGAGAGTTCTAGTGTATTCAGCCCTGATCCGCGTATGAACCGCTTTCACCAAAGACATGCAGAACTAATAGTGGGCAAACTGAGCAAGCTAGTATGTAGATTCCACACTGATGATCATGGGTGACAGATAGTCCAGTGTTTAAAGGGATTCCTTGAGCATCCAAAATCACCTCTCCCTCAGTCACTGAGGTCAGTGTGGTTTTGGCATATTTCCGGTGTTAGACATTACCAAACATATTTTAACATACTGTGAAGTTGGGGTAGAGCCCAGCGCCTGCCACTCATCGACAACAGTTAAGTTGTAAGGAGGGGAAGAGTCATCCTCATTCAAGGAAAGAGGTGGTAGGGGATAAATCCAATAATTTGGATCTCTTCACTGGGGGCTTTGCCTTTGTAGCAGATGGATCTGCCCCACTCCAGTGCCATTGTGATACAGTTTATTCCAGTGAGACCAGAGCCTGATGTTTCATCCAAACCTAGTTTGTTTCTTCCTGCGCTTGACGTAGCACACATAAGAGCTTTCCCATTGAGGTCGCAATGGCAGTATTTATAACCACGTTTGGAAATTTTGATTAGATGTGTGTCGTCCATGGTAAGTCTAGTCCTGCAGGAGACTGTCAGTGGAAGTAGGGCAGTTGGCAAAGCACACAAGGTGCCAGACTCCCGTTACAACTGGATCTCACCGAGAACATTATTTTGCCTCTTGCTTAGTGTAATAAGTGCCAAGGCTACTCTTTTGTGGAAAGAGTAATAAGGTACTATAACTGACTCACCCCTGAAAATCTGCCTCCGTAGAACATATGTATAATAAACTGGGGGTTCACCACAAATAGTGTGCCTTGTGTAACAGTACACTATGGTAACATCTGGAACAATATGTCTGTATCCAATAAGCACTCTTCTCCAGGCCTAAGCTCATACAAGTATTATAAATCTATTGACTTTTCCATTTGTAATATTCCCCTTTGTAGCTAAAAATAGCTAGTCAAATACAGAGCCTAAGGTACCTGTACTAATGTAGAAGCTGGAATGGGCGCAAAAAAAAAAAAAAAAAAAAACCACTATTCCAGTAGTTAAGATAAGCCTAGAGGGGATTAGAACTGATAACAGATGGAACGCATTAAGTCATTGGACATCGCACGTGAAGACATCACCACACCTTGAAGACAAAAACTAGCAGCTGGAACAAGGACTTTAATGGACAAACCAGTTTTCCTGGCACTGCATGATCCTGTAGTGCTTGTATACTTCTACAGAGCAGTGATGTTATCAAAGGGACATTATAGTCACCAGAACAACTACAGCTTAGTGTAGTTTTATGTCCATGCAGGTCTTTTAATGTAAACACTGCCTTTTCAGATAAGCAGCAGTGTTTACATTACTGCCTAGTTACACATCTGGCAGTCAGCCAGCCACTAGAAGTTTCCTGCTTCAGAGCTGCATGTTCAGCATCACTTGGTATGGAGATGCTGAATGCTCCCCATATTGATACATGGACTCAATGCATCTATGAGATGCCGCCGATTGACGCAGTGATGCATTTTGGTGCGCATGTGCAATAGCTTCCCAATGCTTTCCTATGGAAAAAGCATTGGATTGGCTGAGATCGGGTGTGAGCATTTCAGTCAAGAAAATTAAGCTGGTGGAGCCAGACATGCGCAGTGCTGGAAGGCAAGTTTATTGGCACTCATAAAATAAATAAGCTAAGGACCTGAACTGTGGTAAGTCTATAGTGACAGGAATACATGTTTGTGTTCCTGTCACTATAAGGTCCCAAAAAAAATAAATAAATAAATAAATAAAAAAAAAAAAGTACAGCACTACAGTCACCAACTTGCCAGACTGTACAGGTGTTTCAGTTTTGTATACGTGGCAAAACTACTGCATCGTGGCTGTGAATCCTGTGCTTGTATACATTCCATTTCACTGGGCTTATTTTTATATTATAAAGACACTAAAATATTGAAAAGTAGATTGTGGTAATTTTGACAAACAAATTGCCAGACAGGACGAGTTAAAAACAATACACTTTTATTCTAGAAGTCGCAAAGAGGTATCAAAATGAAAAGGAGGCAGAGGGGAGCAATGGGTGCATATTAAACAAGCCTCAAGAGCATGTGGTGCAACAGAGGTGGCTGAAGGGGTGGAAATATGAACCGACAAGACAATAGCAGAGAAAGAAAATTTAAGAATCTTCATTAGCGCTGTCACCTTCATCTTCTCCCTCTTCTGTCTCTTTGTCACCATCTTTAATTTCTTCAAGCTAATAAAAGGAGAAATCAAATCAGTTTGTGTTTCAGATTACAATGTTCATAAATTGATATTGAATCCTTAAGCTTCAAATAGAATTCCGCTTTACAGTTTGAGCCAGTCCATTAAGCCTTTGAGTGCCAAAGGAGTTTTAAACACATGCAGAGAGATATAGCTCGATCGATGCAACAAATCGTCAAGACACAACAGCTGCGGTTGTGTGAAAAATGTGCCTTTCATTTTACAAAAAGGGCAGATATCAATAGAAATTTTAACTTTTGTAAATACACTTTGCTACACAAGTACTGTTATTCCTGAGTGCTTAGGCTCAGTTGAACTAAACTCAATCAGCAATTGCTTAGTGCCACTTCCTTGCCCAGGTTTTTCATTGAGCTGCATTGGGAAGTATAACTGGACCGCCACAGAAAGTCTGGACCGGGATAGCAGGGCTTGCACAAGCTTTAGACAAGAGATCTGAAACTTTGGCAAGCGGTTTTTAGATACATGGCTTTCATTGTGATGAAACTACTAAACAATTTTTATTTGAATTTGTGCTGTGGAGTGTCCCTTTAAGAAATTTTAAATAAATATAACAAGTGAAAGACACTCAATATGAAATTTTAAGGCCCTTTTCTTAATACAATGCAAAGATTAAGAAGGACTCTTCCTTACAGCTCACCTTATTTAACACATTTAGATTAGAAAGTAGATCAGAAAAGAGAATTCCTTACCGTGTCCTCTCCCTGTTCGTCATCATCGAGAAGGTCTCCTTCCTCTGCCGAGTCAGCCCCTTCCTCTGCCATCATTTTCACACTGGTTTCCTCTTTCTTTTGAGAACTACTGCTCTGTTCCTCATCTAATTTTGTCTCTGCATTAAAATAAGTTTAGAATTACACAATTATGTCCAAATATGGAAATATTTTACTGTAATATGAAAGAATACATATGTTGAATAATCTTACAGTGACACAAATACATTTATTCTGTAAGTAATTTAGTTTACCTTGTTTAGACTGTTCACGCTCAATTCGCTCTAAACTTTCAAGAAGAGAGTCTACTCTTTGTTTTATTTGACTGAGCTCCTTTTTTATAGTCTGAAGATCATCTCCCTTCACTGTAAAAAGAGACAGATTATATGCCATTAACTATAAAATACATACAAAACGATATGGGACATCTCCATTTCATCATAATGAACATGTTAGCGTTACAAGGTATCATCACATTTTGTTTTTAGCATTAACTCACGTCTACTAGACTTTGAAGATCCACCTCTCTGGCCACTCTTTGAATTGAAGCCACTTTTGCCACGCCTTGATGTATTTCCCGACACTCTCTGGCGCTTTGATGGCACTACAGCTCGGGCAATAGGAGGAGGAGGCGGCACACGAGTTGCTGAATAGCTGATGTAGCCAAGGAAGGGAGAATAGTGTAAAGGGACGCGTTTGGAAAGCAGCTTGATACACATTTCCATTGAAATAAAGCGGTTACTAGTTAATGCTCAATACATACATAAACATGATCCATAACTATAGCATTTTAAGTTCACTTCATTCGTGACACAATATAAAAATAACACAGGCTTTCATACAGCTTGCTCTGAAATGGTAAACAGCCGTATTGCCCATCCCTTGAAAATCCACTGTACTGGTTATGCCAGGAGTACACTGAAGCCACTACACATTAAGAATGTAGCAAGAGTTGCAAGCTTTGCCACAGATACTGCTGACCATTTACTGTCTGTGAGCATCAGCTAAACAATCCCAATGAATGAGTTAACTTTAGCAAGCACTCATTCAAGAATGAACAATGAAAGCTGCTGGTGGGGTCACTACACGTCTGGTAGCCAGCTGCAATACCTCAATATGTGCAGTATCTCATACTAAAACCCTGCACATACCAGGTCCTTCCATCATGACCACTTCAAAACAGATTAGATTTTTTTTACATTGAGATTTCTCATTCAGGTCTATACTACTAAAAACACACAAGTCAGTCACTTTCCTTAGCTAGTTCTAAAATAAAATCCATAATTTTACAACTCATTTCTTAAGATGCAATTGACCTTGTTGCTACTTATACAAATGTAATAAAATAAACTTGACTAGCTACACCCCACCATTATAGCTACTTGCTTCTCGCCATAATTCTCTAGTCTTATTCCCAATGACACTCCAAGCGCACTTTAGTGGTTATAGTACCAGAAGTGAACTCTAATCTGGTGGTCCATGAAGCACCACTCCTGCCCACTCTGCATTAAGTAGCTCACAGCTGCAGAGCTTAGCTCAGAAAACCTAGCAGGAGATTTCCATTCTCACTTCCACCTACAGAGAATGGTTACTGGTAGACCCCAAGTAAGAAGTCAAACTTAAGAAAAAGGCTATTTACATTGAGAGTGCACAAGGAAACTCATGGCACCATGACCACTATAGCATGCTGTAGTAGTTATGTTGCTTGGAGTACTTTTTAAACTTAGTTAAGACCCAAGTAGGATATTACCCATTCGATTATTTTAGTCACATGTAATGTGTTAAATATGCATACAATGATCAGCCACAACATCAAAACCACTGACCATTGAAGTGAATAAAATGGAGTGTATCCTTACAATGGCACTTGTCAAGTGGTTGAATATATTAGACAGCAAGTAAACCACCAGTTCTTGAATTTCATGTGTTTGAAGCAGCAAAAATCTGAGTGACGTTGACAAGTTATAGCTAGATGACTGTATCAGAGCTTCTCCAAAACTGCAAATCTTGTGGGGGGTGTTCCAGGTATGCAGTGGTTAGTACCTACCAGATGTGGCGCAAGGAAGGACAAACTGAACCGGCATCAGGGTCATGGGTGCACAAGGCCCATTGATGCAAACGGTCACACCACACAGAAGAGCTATTGTAGCTCAAACGGCTGAAACAAACCTCAATGCTGGTCATGACAAAGATATCAGAACACAGACTGCTCAGAGTGTCCTTGAGGACCCCTGTCCACGGCCGAATGCCCCTCAATGTAGACGTGAAAGTCAGAAAAGGACCATGGAGCAATGCCTGGTCTTATAAATCACATTTTCCTTTTAGATCAGATGGATGGATAGCTGGGTGCATGTGTATAGTTTACCTTGGGAAGAGATGGCAGCAGGATACACTATGTGAAGGCAGATTGGCGAGGCAGTGTTATGCTCTATGCAATGTTCTTCTGGGAAACTTTGGTTTCTAGCATTGATGTTGACATGACTATGTACCACCTACAGACCACGTACACACCTTTATGGAAATGGTGTTTCCCTGATGGCAGTGTTCTTTCAGTAGGATAATGCACATTGTTTCAGGGGTTGCCTTAGCTGCCAATTCCCCAGATGTTATTCTGACTAGGCATCTGTGGGATGTGTTGTAACAAATCTGATACATGGAGGACTTTTCCCACCTTGCAACATGCAGGACAAACTGCAGCCAATGTCTTGTTTCAGATACCACAGGACAAGTTCAGAGGTCTAGAGGAGTATGTTCCTCTACGCATGAGAGCAGTTTTAGTAGCACGAATGGTACGTATATGTTAGGCAGGTGGTTTTAATGTAGTCTATGATTAGAGTACATAAGTTACAGTGGAACAAGTCTGTAGCTCGAATTTAAGGGTTTGCACTGGGTCAGAACTCTGACAATTGCCTCCATCCTTGAGGGGTTAACTTACAAGAGTACAGATATTACGGCATACAAGTAATTAATTCTAGCATTGGATCAACATACCTGTCATAATAGTCTCGTTGAAAATCATAATCCAGATCAAAAGATGACCTAATAAAAAGTCAAGCAGAACAGGTTTGTTTTTTTAACCCTCCAACTTTAAATTTGTAGTCCAAGACACAATCACACTTAAATTGCCTACCCATACATGTCAGCAGCAGAACGTTTGACACCTCCTTTCCCTCGGTTTGCTTTGGGTTCAGCAGCAAGATTGATATCTGAAATAAGAAATTAACTTAACCACTATTCAACATATTTTATGTTGTTACTTTCTCTTTGTAAAGGCACAACCTTTTTGGTGAGGTTTAGCAGTGGAGAGGGCACAAAAACAAAAAAAAAAAACAAGCGCGCCCCCCCACCACACACCATAACAGAACACACTTTTTTGTTTGGCTGTGGATACTAATGTACTGGAGTGGAAGAAACTAAAAACCACTCGAGATGCAGTCAATCTAAGAGAAGCACACAGGCAAAAAGGGAAAAATAGTGCAAGTTAAAATTAATGTTAGCCATTTTAAGCACTGGATAGACCGGTAAAGCAGACTTTGAGCAAACATTAACTCACACAAAGGGTGAGATTAGTGGACACATCGAGATTTGCAGATACAATGCTGTACCAGATTTCAAATACACAGCTGAGAGCAATACGTCTAGACAGAGCATGCATTCTCTTCATTGTAATAAGAAACAAATGCAAACTTCCATTACAGCTCCCCACTCGCAAATTAATGAAATGCCTTGAAATAATTTTTTTTAAAAAGTATATTCAAAACAAAGTTCATGGGATGAGATAATTTGCCCATGACAGATGCAGAAGTTTTTTTTATTCCGAACTTGAACCCATTAACCAACACTTTACTTCTACTCACTTACCCAGGACCTGGCCGGCAATCATGCGCCCATCTTCCCCTGCCACTGCAGTACGGGCATTGCGTTCATTAGCATACTGAACAAAAGCAAAACCCTTGTGCACGGAGCAGCCCACAATCTTGCCATATTTGGAGAAGATGGCTTCCACATCTGCTTTCTTCACCACTAGGGTGTTAAGGTTCCCAATAAACACACGCGAGTTAAGCGAGCGAGGGTCTGTTTTGTTAGTGACGTTGCTCGCCATCATTTTTACACCCTAGGGAAGCAACAGTGACGCCTAGAGGAAGGGAAAAACACAATAAGGTGGCAACAGAATAAATAATTGGATGAGGGGTAAGGCAAGGAGCATGCCTAAATGGAGTATTGTGAAAAGTCAGCTAAGAAAAAAAATATATATCTATATATATAAAAAGCAAGTTGCAGAGTAACTCATGAAGAAACTTTTCAGAAAGTTTCTGGAAGAGAAAAAAAAAAAGCCAAGATGAATACAGGAACAAAACAATCTTCAGTGAGTCTGTAGTTTAGTGATTGGGGTGGTGGGGGAAACAAAACAAAAATTGGAAGTGTATTCCTTCACTGTGGTAAAAAGGGAGTTCCATCTTAGAACAAGACAATATTTAGCCAGTTAACTAAATGCATATTTGGAAAAACAGACAGCAGCAAAAGTCATGTGAATGGCAACACAGTTTAAAAATGTGTTTTTTGACAAGTGGTCTAAAAGTAAAAAAAAAAAAAAAAGTAAAATAAATTAAAGGAAATAATGGATTGAAATAAATTCAACAAAGTTCACAGGAACTATAAAAAATTTGGATAGTGAAACTTTAACAGGAGATATATAGATATATATCTTAACTTTACCTCATATTAACTATTCTTACCATGAGAAAGAAGAACTGGATGCCAAACATCTTGCTCCACTCTTTGCTGCTGGCTGCCAGCGATGGGGCAAAGGGATGAAAGGGAGGGAATGGGGCAGGAATAGGGTAGGGCCTGAATGATCGGAAATTAAATTGGCAATAGAATGCAGACTACAGGGGATATTTAATAGAGCGAGTACTATTTAAAATAAAAATAACCTAACTACATACAGTAGAGTTAGAATATACACTATAAGAAAAAAAAAAAATTCTAGGTGTGTGGTAAAACAAAAGCAGAAAAATAAAATGTACTCGAATTTCACAATGAAATATTTGGCAACTGAATAGAAAGCATGGTGAGAAACATTAAACTAGCACAAAAATGCCCACAATAATAATAATAAAAAAAATAAAAAAAAAAATTATAGAAAGCCTCTTTCCCAATCCAACCCCCACCTCCCCCCAACCAGGAAAATTTAAAATCAATAGGAAAAATTAGCATCAGTATTAATACTCATACATAAATACTAAAAATTTAAAAACAAAAATAAAAAATAAAAATCAGAAATACAGCAGCAACATGTTCAAAAGGAGACCAGTAAGGCAGAAAAAATTCGAAAAATTAAAAAAAACAAAAAAGGAAAAGCATGACTTACTGTAGTAGACGTTTCAAAAAAAATTCTTCGCTGTGAAAAAAAAAGGGGAAAAAAATTATGAAAATTATCCAAGTTAGAAAAAAAAAAAAAAGGAATTATTGTTTAAAAAGTCCAATTAAAAAGTTTAGCAATTCTTAAAAATGTTATTTTCAATAAAATTCTGAATGTTTTCAACCCCAAAAATTGAACACTGAAGGGAATGGGAAAGTAAGGGTGGGGGAAAGGTGGAAGGCTATCTATTCTCAACTCCTGCATGATAATTTGCTGGTTTTGTGTTTTAGGCATAGGTTTGTAATAAAAAATAAATAAAAAATTCCTGCTGGAAAATGTAACCAGCATTTAAGCCACATTCATGCTTCTGTAGACAAGCCAATAGAAAGGACCAGCACAGAGGCACAGTTTTCTCCATATGCACTAAAGTATTCATAACCATGCTTAGAACCGTCTGGTTATAACTAAGATTATGCTAGATGCATTCAGGGAATGATGAAGAGGTAGGTAGAGGGAGTTCTTAACACACTTAAAAACGGGTGTGGGTAGGAAGGTGGAGAAATTTCGAGAACTGCTCAGCTCACTGGCCTGTGAAAAGGAGAATGGGAGAATAGTTTCAGATAAAAGGGGAACAGGATTCAAGGACACAGAGGGAAGGGGAAACAAGCAAATAATAAAATAAGCCCATTCCCTTGCAAAAGCAAACGCAAAACCAATTTTGCTGCTGTACATTGTGACCGATTAAAACGACATTAAGTTATAGCATAAGTATCACTAAACACATTACGTCAGCAAGCTAATATAGGAGGAAAGCATGGTCCCAGTAGTTTATGCTTTTTCTAGCACACAGCCATGTAGGCATGTCTTAGACAGAAAAATACGGTGACAAAAGCAAACTGAACTTTTAGAGTTAGTGGAGAGGAAGAGGTCAGAATGCTGCTAGCTTGTCTTTTAGCTGAGCTAGAGAATTTGTTTTTATTTCGTGAAAATCCTTCATCAACTGAAAAATAAATTCTGAGGGCAATGCGTGACAACAGCATTGCTCCCTATATTGATAAATGAGTAAACTTCAGCATCATGCACCTTGCTTGAAGGGTATGTCACCAAAGCACGACCGATAACATTGTGCTGGTGGAGATAGAAGACTTATGGTTCTTTAAAGGGAACCTAGTCACCAGAACAACTACAGTTTAAAGTTCTTGTGAGTACAGCAAGTACCTGCAGTAAAAAACGGTTTACAATGGTGCCTAGAGATAACTCCAGTGGCAGTCACTCAGACAGCTTCCTGGGTGTAGCACTGATGTCTAGAATCTTTACGCTCTGCATGGGAATGGTGAACTTTTCCCCAAAGAGAAGCATTGATTCAATGCATATCTACGAGGAGATACTTTTAGGCCAGTGTGGTGTTTGGCTTCAACTACCACAGGAGAGTATTGTTTGGCTGAGATTGTTTATTCAGATAATCTCAGACAAAGAAACTGGGTGGGATCAGCGCTGGGCGACCTGTACGGCGCTGGAATAAAGTTGGGTTTTATGCTCATATAGAGGGGGTATGGTATATTTATAGTCAAGATAATCAAAATTTAAATATATATTACAGTGCAAAGTTAACTTGCCAGGCAAGTTAAGTTTAAATGCAGATTTTCTGTTTGTTTCTAGCATTCAAGCACTAAAATTAGGGTCTATAAAGACTTGAGCTTTCCCAAATATCCCATTTCAAATGCATTGAGAATGCACACTATATAATTGGTTTCCACTAATTTCAAAGGAAACCATAAAGATGTAATAAGCACACCATGCTGACTTCTAAGGATGAGTTAAAGATCATGGAGGAATTAAGTTCTCAAAAGTGACTGTTTTAGGGATACTAGAAGCTCTAACACTACTTTACCTTAAAGAACTGATCTGTGTGCTGTGCCCTTGATGTTTTGCTCCTGAAATGTAACATTGCAGTTTAGCTTGCATTGTGGGGTTAAGCACACCTCTAGTGTATTTTACAGTAAGCCACCAGAAAATGCTTCCTGGGTGAGAACAGAGTCCGACAGTTCTTAATCAACATGTTCATGTATTGCATCATGCCTCTGATACTCAAAATAGAGAAGAATTGGACATAATGCTTCTTTAAAACAAAGACTTGATTGGCATTTACAATGCTTCTCTACAAATAGGCACTGGATTGGATGAAAAATCTGCAAAATGTCAGGATGTTGACCAAAAAAAAAAAAACCGGTCCAGCTTGTGCTAGTGTGCAAAACATTAATACATCATACAAACCCTGGATAAAGTGTATATATCCAGTCTGGAAGCCCTGTCAATTAGTCGGCCTGGAACAAGAGAGTTACATCTCAGCAAAATGCTAATTGCATATTTCCTCTCCCCAGTGAATGCTGTTTGAGAGTTTAAACTAGCAGTCACCTCCTGCATTTTTTGCAGAGACCCCCAATGGTAACATCGCTGCTTGGTGTGTGGTGACCTGGTAGGGCAGTGGAGGAGTGCTATACTTCCCTCTTGGTGTCCCCTATATGCACCAACATCTTTGATCTTTAATGAAGTATCAGGAGCCTAGGTGCTGTTCTCATACAAATGTGCCACAGAGGACATCTCTATAGGGAATCCAGCTTGACCCTCCAGGAGTTCTCGCAATGAGCTTGATAAGGCTTTATTCCCAGAGCGGTCACTAGCAACGGCTGTGTGAAGCAACAAAACTTGATGACCGCGGTAGTTCACCCTTTGACAAGTTGAGAATTTTCTATAGACAAAAGTAGACCTTCCCTACTTTTTCTTATATCTTTTGACTGCGTTGTAACACCTAAAACATCTAGTTTTAATTTACTAAAATCTCAAAATATAGTTGACAAAATTAACACGGACACAGAAGCCATATAGGAAAGTTTGAATGCACGGGGAACGCTTCGTGCATTAGGTCCCCAATTCCCCTCTACGAGGAGCACTGGATTGGACCATGCCTCCATGATGTAAATGGGGAGGAGGGGTGAACAATGACAGCGCTGCTTTAAATCTAAGAAAACTGTTGCCCTTAATACATTTTAAGAAGTTAATTTCTTTCTTAAAGTGACATAAGTCACCAGAACATCTATAGCTCATTGTAGTTTTTCTGAAGATTATAGTCAGCCCCTGCAAGCATTTTTAGATGCAAACACTGTTTCCAGAGAAAAGGCAGTGTATACAATAAAGCCTGGTTACTAGGGATCGACCGATATTGATTTTTCAGAGCCGATACCGATATTCTGTGAACTTTCAGGCCGATTGCCGATATAATTTGCCGATATTCTGTACATTTACCATTTTGGAAAATAAAAACTATTTCTAAAGGTAAATGCACAAAATATACATGCCACGTGTAGTGGATGCAGTGTGACAGGGGAGCTGTGTGTGTTTGTGTAGTGGATGCAGTGTGTGTTTGTGTAGTGTGTGTGTAGTGGATGCAGTGTGTGTTTGTGTAGTGTGTGGGTTGTGGATGCAGTGTGTGTTTGTGTAGTGTGTGTGGAGGATGCAATGTGTGTTTGTGTAGTGGATGCAGTGTGTATTAGTGTAGTGTGTATATAATGAAAGCAGAGTGTTTGTGTAGTGTGTGGGTAGTGTGCGTAAAGTGAATGCTGTATATACTAAATGCAAAGTGTGTGTATATAATGAATGCAGAGTGTGTGTGTATTTGTGTAGTGTGTGTATAGTGAATGTAGTGTGTTTATATAATGCAGAGTGTGTGTGTTAGTATAGTGTGTGTATATAATGCAGTGTGTTTGTGTAGTGTGCATTATATAAACACATTACACAAACACACTGCATTATATACACACACTGCATTATATACACACACACTACACAAACACTGCATTATATACACACTACACAAACACACTGCACAAACACACTACATAAACACACACCGAATTATATAAACACACTACACAAACACACTGCATTATATACCCACACTACACAAACACACACTGCATTATATACACACACTATACAAACACACTGCATTATATACCCACACTACACAAACACACTGCATTATATACCCACACTACACAAACACACTGCATTATATACCCACACTACACAAACACACTGCATTATATACCCACACTACACAAACACACTGCATTATATACCCACACTACACAAACACACACTGCATTATATACACACACTATACAAACACACTGCATTATATACCCACACTACACAAACACACACTGCATTATATACACACACTACACAAACACTGCATTATATAAACACACTACACAAACACTGCATTATATAAACACACTACACAAACACTGCATTATATACACACTGTACAAATACACACTGCATTATATACACTGTTTGTGTAGTGTGTGTACATAATGCAGTTTGTGTAGTGTGGGTATATAATGCAGTGTGTTTGTGTGCATTGTATACAAACACACACACACACTATACAAACACACTGCATTATATACACAGTGTGTTTGTGTAGTGTATGTGTATATAATGCAGTGTGTGAGGGGGCATTTTTTATTAAATTATTTAAAAAATTATATTTACTTAATTATTATTTATTTTTGTTGTCCCCCCTCCCTGCTTGTTACCTGGCCAGGGAGGGGGGATATGACAGTCCCTGGTGGTCCAGTGGTATTGGCTGAGCCTTGGGGGGGCAGAGAGCAAGCGCTTACTCACCTCCCAGCAGCTCCTCCAGCTCCCCAGTGCAACTCTCGCGGCCAGCGTGTCTCGCGGAGCGTTGCCATGGTGATCCATGGCAACGCTCTGACGGCCGCGGGTCTCGCGAGAGTTGCACTGGGGAGCTGGAGGAGCTGCTGGGAGGCGAGTAAGCGCTTGCTCTCTGCCCCCCCAGGACCGCCGGGCTTGTAATGAGCCTGGCGGTCCTAGGAGGTATTATCGGCAATATCGGTATCTGAATTGGCCGATACCGATATTGCAGAGAATACCGAATATCGGCCGATTATATCGGTAAAACCGATAATCGGTCGATCCCTACCGGTTACACCTAGACACTGTGCAACACTGCCGTTCAGAACGGAACGTCTCACAGAGTATGAGAAGATGCTGATAGGCCAGGGCAGTGTGTGGCCCCACCACTGCAATCTCAGCCAATCCAATGCTTTACCCATGATCAATTCTGATGAGGTCGGCCAAAGAGGTGGGCCAGCACAAGCAGCGTTGAAAAAAAGGCAAGGTTTAAAAAGGACCACTATAAGCACCCAGACCATTGAAGTGTTCTGGCTACAGCGTCCCTATTGCACTTCGTACTGCAATGTAAACAATGCAGTGCTGCATGTTGCTCCAACACTCTGCATGGAGATGCAGATTGGCCAGCGGGGTATTTTGCTGTGCATGCAGATAGCTTCCAAATGCTTACCTATGGGAAAGCACTGGATTGGCAGTCAATTTTAATAATCTCAGCCAAGAAGGCGGACCTAAGGGTCGCTTGAGAAGAAAAAAAAAATAAAAAAAAAAATTACAGAAAAGGGGGCGGAGGGGCTATATAATTATGCAAAGAACAAAAATAATGCCAGAAAAAGCAAGTGCCCCCAATTCAGAAGGAAAGATTTATTTCCCAATGTTTAAGGTCAGGGTGGTCCAAAACATGTAAGGAAGAATTTTATTTGGTTTTTGTTTTCCCTGTTTATGTACCCTGTGGAATAAACCTTTCCTTTTGGATTGGGAGCACTTTATTTTTCCCCAGCATTTTTTCCCCCTTTGCATTATTTCATGAGGATTTGGAGTCCCTTGCCTGGAGTCCTGAGTCCCAAAGGGGTAAGAAGGGACTTTACCTCACTTTAGGATTTTTCCTTTGACTTTTAAATTCATTGGTTTCAAAGTAAAAAATTTTCTGGGGCTACATAGTTATATTACAGCTATAGTGCCAGAAATACATTGTATTCTAGTCACTGAAGTATTTAAATATAGGAATTCAAGTGAACAGAGCTATGTGTTGTAGAAAAACAAACACTTTGCTGGCCTAATGTGTTCAAACAAACCTAAGCAGATGCTACAGTGACTTTTCAGTGTTGCAGTTTTTTCCCAGCAGCAAAAAAGGTTGTTACAGCAAGACTTTTTAATATGATTAATAAGGTAGTAATATCCACAACTTTTTTTGTTTTGTTACATAAATCAATTCATGCAAATAACCCCTCCATCCCTAATAGAGAGCACCCCTTTGTGTTTGAGTGGCTTCTTCGCTTTCTCCTATGGTTTCCTTTTCTCTTCCTCTTTCAGAAACTGCTTTTCTGATCTATTTCTCATTAAAACAATGTATTTTTCCTATGCTTGACAATCTTTACCAAGGGTTGAGCTTAAAGGGACAACAGAATTACAATTTAGTGTAGTGATTCTGGTGTCTATAGCCTGTGCCTGCAGGGTTTTTAGTGTAAACACTGCCTATTAAGAGAAAAGGCAGTGTTCACATTACTGCCTAGCAACATCTCTAGTGGCAGTCATTAAGACGGTCACTAGAAGTGCTTCCTGTGTCAGTGCTGCACAGTGTGCAGCACTGCCATTAAGCGCCAACACGCTCTACATAGAGACACTAAACATCCCCCATAGAGATGCATTGATTAAATGCATATTAATGAGGAAATGCTGATTGGTGCAGTGCAGCTTTTTGCCAAATTTTTGCTGAGCTGTACAAGACCAACACTGTGCTGGTAAAAAAGGTAAGTTTAAACACTTTTCAAAGGGAGGCAAGGGGGGGTGGCACCTAAACCTTTATTTTCTTCTGCTATATAGTGGCAGAAATACAGGTTTGAGTTCCTGACACTAGTGTTTCTTTAAGGCATGGGACAAGTTCCACTTCCTTTGTCAAGAGTATAGCTTGCTTTAAGTCCTACCCTTTGTCAAGATTGACAAGCGTAGGAAAAATACACAAGGAAAATAGTCCCTACTTTGTCTTATGTATTAAAGAGAAGGATCAGAAATGACCGAGGGGGGGATGCTAGTTTATAGGGACAGCCATTTTAACTTAATTTTGCATATGTAACAATTAGACAGACACCCCCCAAAACAAACCACTAGTATATTTAAAAACAGAGCAGACTATTATAACATTTGGAATTAAAAAAAAACTCATATGCAGTTTTAACATATGAATTGTTTATAATCTTGGTTTCCTAGCTGTATGAAGGGACACAATAGTAACAAAATGATCAGGAATACATCACAGGAAAGGGTAAAACAATTTTCACTGTTCAACATCATAGCTATCCAACCTGTCTCATTTGCAAGAATGGATGATACTTTTATAACAAATTGCTAAACATTTTGTGCATTTCATGAAAAAAAAAAAAAAAAAAAAACAACCCAAAGTAAACATGTGGTGTCAGGGGAGGGAGTGGAATATGAGAGACATACTTAAAATTATAAAAGCACCATGACCACTTTAGGGATTTAAAGTCTGCATGTGCAATGTCAGAGTATGAAATGCTGCACATAAAGATTTTAAAGAACATTGGTTTCTGTAGGTGTAATCACCTCGTGAAGTATTATTAGCCAGGAACAAAACAGGAACACACTCCAATAAGTGTTCTTAAACATATACAATGATGTATTATGGTCTCTACTTTGCCTTAAAATATCAATATTGCTTAATAAAAATTAAAACAGAACATGAGCATGTGGGAACGGTCAACTGAACATCAACTTGTCCATGCTAGAGAGCCATTTGAGTTTTAGAGTAATTGAAGAACAGAGTATTCAAACTGTGTCCAGGAAGGTAATAAAATAATCTTGAATTTTCATTGTAAGATTAAAACAAAACTGAGGGAAAAAAAAAAAAAAGGGTTTAAGTTTGTTTAGAAGTAATATAGGGGAATTTAAAAGATAAATAGGATAGTGTCCCTTTAACAGACACAAAACATACGCCCACATTATTTTCAGAAGCTTCACGTAAAGGGACATTGTAGGCACTAAAACCATTTCACTGAATTTTTGATAGTGTCCCGAGTACCCTGAAAGCACCCCCATTTAGTTTGAAAGCATTTTCAAACAGTTAAAACATTAATATAAGGGTGCCCTGCCACTCAGCTTTTCCCTGTTAGGTGTATGGCAAATGCAGAGATTTCACTTCTTTATAGCCATACCAAAAGTGGGTACTGTGAGGCTGAAAGTGGTCAGGTGACACTTCCAGTCAATCACAGCCACCCATTGCTGTACAGTTTAACCCCTTAAAAAGGAACAGTTTTCCTGGCACAGCAGGTGCCCTCTCCCTCCCACCTTCCACCCCCAGTTGCTGAAGGGGGTCAAAACCCCTTCAGTGACTAACCCAAGGCAGCGCAGGTGTCCCTCGGCACTGCTTCAGGGTCCGCCCACGCTCCTCCCCGTCATTGGCGGGGGAGACCTAATGCGCATCCCCATTTCCTATGGGGATTTTAGCGACGCTGGAGGTGCTATGAAGCAGGAAGTGCCCTCTAGTGGCTTTCTAGTAGACAGCCACTAGGAGGACTTAACCCTGCAAAGTAATTATTGCAGTTTATGAAAACTGCAATAATTACACTTGCATGGTTAAGGGTAGTGGGAGTTTGCACCCAGACCACTCCAATGGGCAGAAGTTGTCTGGGTGCCTGGAGTGTCCCTTTAAGGACACAACTTCTGGAATAAAAGGGAATCATGACGGAAATGTCCTTAAGGGGTTAATGCTACATGATTGGTTAAAGTATAAGTATAGTCAGTTCCTGCAGACTTTAATGTTACCACTGCCATTTCAGAGAAAAGGCCGTGTTAACATTACCACCTAGGAACACCATCTAGTGGCCACTCCTCAGACAATGTGCAGCACTGACGTTCACAGTCTATGCTGAACTTTCCCCATAGAGATGCATTGATTCAATATATCTATAAGGAGATGCTGATCGGTCTTTGGCTCCGCCCCACCCCCTTGGCTGAGATCATTAAGCTGAAGTGATCTGAGTGCCTATAGTGGTCCTTTAATGAAGTAGTTTGGGCGTATAGATCAGGGCCCTGCAGTCTCACTGCCTTCCTAGACACTTCCTGTAAAGAGAGTTATCTAAATGTTTACACTTCAAACATTAGATCTAATTTTACAGGAAGTGTTTAGGAAGGCTGTGCAAGTAACATACAGTGGGGTGTGCCATGGGCTGCATAAACAAGAGATTTAACGTCTAAAATGGCATAGAATTGAGCAGTGTGACTGCAAGGGCATGATCATAAAGCAAAAGTTGTTTTTGTGGCTATATAATATCCCTTTAAAATAAGTTACATCTGTTTGAAAATTAAACCATTTTGGTTTCATGCAGGTTGTGTCCGTCACAGACAGGGGAAGTGTGGCTAGGGCTGCATAAACAAACAAAACCCGAGTTAACTCCCAAATGGCAGTGAACGGAGCTGTGAGACTTTGGAGGCTCTATACACAGACTGCTTCATTAGGCTAAAGCCGTTTTAGTGACTTGACCCGCTAGAGGCAAAGTAGTAGACAGGTGTTGATAATCAAATGCCATTGATTAGCTGAGAGTCAGCAAGCAAGACCACCTCTATAAATGCCAAAGATTTAGCAGTTTGATGGTCTGGAGCATTCATGTGTGTGATAATGCCAAGTAGGAAAGACATCAGCAATGATCTTACAGAAGCAATTGTTGCTGCCTAAACTGGGAAGGGTTATAAGGCAAATTGCAAACGATTTAAAGTCCATAATTCAATTAATACAGTGGGAAAACATTCAAGTTGTCAATCTTCTCAGGAGTAGACGCCCTATCAAATTCACCCAAAAGGTCAGACTGTGCAATGCTCAGAAATAAAAAAATAAGCTGAAGTATGCTACAATAAAAAAATAAAACCCAAACTGAACTATAGACAATTTCCTACAGTATTGCACATGTCTTTGAACTTATGTAGTCATGATATTGTTTGATGCAAATACAGCCATAACTGTTCTAATGTCAGGCATGCTTAATCTATGCGACAAAAACAGAACCTGGAATCTTGCAGTTATTGAGTCAACCATGAACTCCATATCCCAAAGTATTCTAGTCACACAAAAGGACAATGATCCCAAGCACGCTAGCAAAAAGTATAAACAAAATGGCTAAAAAATAAAGCAGCAAGCTGTTGCAATGGACCAAAGTCTAGACCTCAACTCAATTGAAATGCTGTGGTAGAACCTCAAGAGAAGTGTACATAAACAAGTGTCACCAAACCTTAATGAACTGATGCATCACAAGAGTGGGCCAAAATTCCTCCACAACCATGTCATACAGAAAACAATTACTTCAAATTATTGCTGTTATTTTGTTAAATAAAGCATGTCACATGTTCACCTGTGGTTGTATTTACCTTATTTTAAAGACCTGCTAATGAACAGATTGTTATTAAGCCCTGATATTTAAAATCATAAAATTCAAAGAGTACTTTCTTTCGCCCACGACCATTTACCATTCGCTTCCTGTGCCATCTGTAAAAAAAATATTTTTCCTTGCAGACAATATTTAATATAAAAGTCCCCAAAAAATTTTTTTCATACATACATATATACACACACACTGGATTATCCAACTCACTGAAGGATACACATAACACCTGCTTTTTTTTTTTTTTTTTAACAGCTGTCTATACAGTGGAGACTTTATGTTGTACATCAGATAATTCAGGGCATTTCCAACCCTGTATTCACATCAGGTTCCCACATACAGCTTTACCGGCCTTCTGCACACTGGCAACAAACATTGAGTGGATGGCCCTCAAAGTTGAGCCCTCCCCACCTCCATATCCCCTTAATCCTCTTTAAATTCTATTTTCCACCTTCCTAATGCCGGCTCAGATTGCGTGCATCTGCTCTGAGCCATCAAAACTGTCCATGAGATGCATGCGACTGCACCACACGAGGCACTGGCCAACATCAGGTGGAGGCGTGGAAGACTACTCTAAGCTTCGCCTGCTAATGGGTTCCAGGAAAGTTAACAAAACAATCAAATGTAGAGAAAACACCTCTCACTGGAACCAGCAAGGAGTAGCCATTGTGAACCATAACCACTTCATCTAATCAAAGCCGCTAGAGAGGCTGGTATCTCTCCTACTGTTGAGTGTGAAACCATTTTAAAAACTGACAGATTCCCCACCATCCAGCCCATTTCAACTGCTCAGACTAGCTATGGATGTCAGTGATGGCCTGAGAGGGTCAGTCACTCCTATCCATCAGACATGAATTAGAATGGCTCATATGGCATTGCAGTAATTGTCCATACCCTCTTAGGTGGCAACAGGCAGCCAGAGTCAGACCACTCCAGGCACCTTATCACGATCAATATGAATTGGTTATGGTGTTTAGAGTATTAAAGGGACACTATAGTCACCAAAACAACTTTAGGTTAATCAGATAGGGAGTATAGTTAATGTCTCTGAAGCATCACTGCCTAATTATCTGCCTTGTGTTAAATTGTAGCTAAAGTGCCAGGAAATCACTTGTTTTCCTGGCACTATGCTTCCCCTCCATCAAGGCACTCCTGTTAGTTAATCGTGTGCACCACCAATGTCCCTTGGCGCTGGCTGAGGTCCACCTTCTCTCCTGATGTCAGAGGGGAGACCTAATGTGCATGTCTGGCAATGGCTGCGCTCACATTAGGATTATACAATCCTTTTCTATGGTGACTCCAGTGACACTGGAAGTCCTCATGCATAGCGTGAGGGCTTCATGATGACCAAAAATATAACAAATTGGAAGTCCCTCTAGTGGCTGTCTGGTAGACAGCCACTAGAGGTGAAGTTAACCCATAAGAGGTAAAGTTAACTTCGCAATGTTAAGGGTGTTGGGACACTGCAAACAGACCACTTCAATGATCTGGGTGCCTATAGTGTCGCTTTAGATCAATTTAGCTTCTATAGACTTCTGTAAATTGTGTTTTAATCACACACAGCTCATCCAGGGTCAAGCCATTAACAGAGGAGGAGATAAAATTCTTAAACAGTATTTGCAATATTGGAAGTGTAACCATTAGAGGACTTTACAGGAAGTGTTTAGGAACACTGTGCAAGTCACATGCAGGGGGAGGTGTGACAAGAGCTGCATAAACAGTGATTTAACACCTAAATAGCAGAGAATTGAGCAGTATAACGGCAGAGGCACAATCTATACACCAAAACTGATTTAAGCATGCCAAAGTTGTTTTGGCAACTATAGTTTCCTCTTTAAAAATAAAATAGCATAAGAAATCAAAGCCATGTGGAGGAAAAAAAAACCCACCAGTTTAGGCCTGAAAACAAATATAGACAACGCTTACCAACAATACAACGTACACAGCTCTTGTGGATTTGAGTTTTGAACAGTGTATAGTGAAAAAAATAAAATAAATGGGAAGTTGAAGGGCTTAGCAATGCTGACCCAGAATACAGCTTGCTATAGCTCCAAAATATGCATCAATACTATAAAATAAAAAAATTATTGGATAAACCTTACAGGTAGGAGGAACCAATAGACACGTTAGAAATGAGCATCAACCCTTTTTAATAGGCATCTCCTAGCACTGTAACGTAGGTTTACACGGTACAACAGAAAACCACCGGCTACATGTGTTAACCCAGCTATATTGGCTGTGCCACATGGAGGACCGAACTGGCCCACGACACCTTGATAAATTCACTGATAACAGCCCCCCCCCTCCCCCCTCAGCGATATCAGTAGAGGCCTAGCTCACACAGCTACCGCTGCTTTCAGGGTCTGCAAAACACCGTGTGCATTCACCAGTACTAATCCGCTCACAAACATTATCAGCAGCTACAGCCAGTGTGGGAGAGTTAGAGCCACACGATAACCACTGTACGGGCAGAACAGCATTGTGTTGCAAATCCGATTAATTCACACGATGCGTCGCAGCCTCTTAGAAGGTCTCACATAGGCCTCGCACCGCACTGTGCGCTTCCCTCAGTAATTAAGGTTACGCCATACCGGTTACTCACCTCCTTTCTTCCCGATGAGAGCAGGGGTTGCGGTTGTGAGCTGGCGAACTGGACGTCAAACAAGGAATTAGAAGATTAAAGCACAGAGAACAAACACAATCGTAATAAAAACTGGACTGCAGACTGCAAAAGCTACAACCGTCTGCGTCTTTTGCTACAAAATGGCTGCAACCTTATCCGCTCACTGCGCAGCTTGTCTTGGGGAACCTACGTAATGAGAGATTCGAACGCTTATTGGATAGATGGGACGCACGTCATGTGATTAGCGTGCGGTACAGCCAATCAGACGTTGCACTTTGTTCTATTGTTACTGATCGCATTAGAAGCCGCCTTCCGTTTTCCACAAGTCCAATCAGAATACAGGATCCGTCAGCGCCGACCGCTGATCTGACCAATGGAAGTTACACAAGCTGTGACGCAGGGGGTGGAGGCGGGTCGCTGCTACAGTAATGTGCTTCAAGGCGCCATATTCCGCCTAATAATCTGGCCAATCAAAAAACTGCGCGGGTTATAGTTACTATGGTGATTTGTGGCGTAGTTTCGGAGATATGTATTTTTTTTTTTCTAACACAACACGGGCTGGGGCGTGCGAAATATATATATATAAATAAATAAATGATGTTTCTAGGCTTGATGCTATCTGGACCAGGTCTCTATTCTCTGCCTGGGGCTGTGTGTTAGTGGCAGTGTGTGTGTATGTGGATCAGTTGAGTGTTTTTCATTTGCCCTCTCCTTCTTAGCAGCTCTTGTTATAATGAGGTATAATCCTTGGTGGTCCTGTGTGGTGCCAGTGGTTTGGTGGGAAGGTGTTGTGGTTTGGATGCAGACACTTTAAGATCTCCTTTGCGGTTTTGGCGCCTAGTCAATGACTCCGCTGAGGGCTAGGGAGCAATGTAAAAATGGAGATGAGGGCGTGATGGGCTGGTGAGTGTTGTAGGAATATGTGACAAAAGGCGTTGGAGCCTGGGGAACACTATGGGCACTGTTTTAACCCTGCATCGCAAAACATTGCCATTCTGCAGGAACAGCAATGTTTTCATGGCAGGGTTAACCTGCATTTACTGACTGTGTTACAGACAACCAACAGAGACACTTCCTCGAAATATTGTATTACGACCCCACTATTTCTATCAGAAGGACTCAAAATAACCAAATGCTTTGAGCAGTACAGCGTATTGTCATGCATGCGCACTAGCCTCCTAAAGCTTTCATTTGGTAAAGCATTGTATCGGCTAAGTTAATTGATTTTGATTATCGCAGCGGCCAGTGCTGCAAGGGAGATAATGTATGTAAACTATATTTTTGAAACATGGCAGCAGGGGTCTGACCACTAAAATGGGGACTAGGGCACAATGGAATTAGGAATACATGTGTTTGTATTAACCAAGTCAGGATAACAAAAAATCAGGAAGCAATCTAACCTGGTCAGGGTTACAGAGGTGCTTGAAATCCAATAGAACAGGTACTCAAACAGAAGCCACGATAGGACACAGTAAATGGGGCTAGGGCACCAACTGCGCAATAGTAAAAATTAATCCATCTTCGGCCAAGGGGGGCAACCTGCAGACTGTCGTAAGTCCTAGACAATGCTGCTTCTTCCCTCGGGCAGCATTTCAGACCCTGCCTGCCTGCGGCATGCACGTTTTAATGAAAGCCAGTCACCAGAGGCATAACTACAAACCACGGGGCCCCATTGCAAAAATTTCCCTGCGCACCCTCCCCCCCCATACATCTACCTCTCACCCCATACGTCCCCGCCCTCCCCACACATGTACATACGCAGACACACACATAGACACACATACATACAAACACATAGACACAGAGACCCATACATACAGACACACTTACATACACCCACACATACATACAGACACACTTACATACACCCACACATATTATTATTATTATATTTATAGAGCGCCGTCAAATTCCGCAGCGCTTTACAATGGGTGTATGAACAGACATGCAGTTGTAACCAGACAAGTTGGACACACAGGAACAGAGGGGTTGAGGGCCCTGCTCAATGAGCTTACATGCTAGAGGGAGTGGGGTAAAATTACACAAAAAAGTAAGGATAGTATTAGACTAGTGACAGATGCAGAAGAGGAATCAGTCAGGAGCTATTAACAGTTTAATTGATACGCTTTTATGAAGAAGTGGGTTTTTAACGATTTTTTTGAAGGAGTGGAGACTGGGTGAGCATCTAACAGAGGAGGGAAGCAAGTTCCACAGGAACGGTGCAGCCCTCGAGAAATCTTGAAGGCGAGCATCAGAGGTGGGAGTACGGACACAAGATAGACGTAAGTCTTCAGCAGATAGTAAGGGCCTAAACGAGACATACTTGTGTATAAGGGAGGATAGATAGGTGGGAGCAGCATTATGTAGAGATTTGAAAGCAAGAACCAGAATTTTAAATTGAGCTCTATATTTTATAGGAAGCCAATATAGGGACTGACAGAAGGGTGAGGCATGGGAGGTGCGGGCGGACAGGAAGATGAGCCTCGCTGCCGCATTCATTATGGATTTTACGGTGCAAGTTGGGAGCACGTAAGACCACTGAGAAGCGGATTACATTAGTCAAGGCGAGAAAGGACAGTGGAATGGACCAACACCTTAGTCGCATGTGGCGTTAAGTAGGGGCAGATGGAAATGACAGGATTTGGCGATAGATTGAACATGAGGCTTGAAGGAGAGGTCGGAGTCAAAGAGAACACCTAGGCAGCGAGCCTGCGTGGTGGAGCTGATGGTAGCACCGTTGACTTGGAGGGAGACAGACACATGAGTAACAACACTTGAGGGAGGAAAGACCAGAATTTCAGTTTTGGTCAAGTTTAGTTTAAGGAAGTGGGCAGCCATCCAGTTAGAAACAGCAGAGAGGCAGTCAGAAACACTAGTCAAGAGGGACGGGGAGAGATCAGGAGAGGACAGGTAGATTTGCGTGTAATCTGCATAGAAATGATATTGGGAGCTAAAGGAGCTAATGAGTTTACCATGGGAGGCAGTATAGATGGAGAACAGTAGGGGACCAAGGACTGAACCTACATACATACAAACACACCCACACATACAGATACACACACATACAGACAGATATACTGATACAGACATTCTCTATCACATACACACACACACACACACACACAAACTGTTAAAAAAAATTGTGAATTACCTGGGGTCCAGTGGCTGCCTCATGCTGATGGGAGTCAGAATTCCTGTTCTGACTCCCTCCTCTCCTCCTGCGCGGCACTCTGTTGGCTACGAGGTGACATCATCACTGGGGCCCGGTCGCGCTCTTAAATCGCCGCACCGATGACCGGGCTCTAGGAGATCCATTGCCGTTGGGGGGGCCCCAAGAGCATAGGCCATCCGATGGGCTCCTTCACAGCGTCCGCAGTGTTTTATCCGCACGGTTGGGGACGCACCAAAATGCTGACTGGCTGACAGGGCGACCGGACCCCCTGGAATGACGAGCCTGGTCGCAGCTGCGACCCCTGTGACTGCGGTAGTTCTGCCAGTGCCAGTCACATCACTTCTGGTTCTACCTGGTCTATATCATACCTGTGGCCTTATTATCATATTTTTTGCTTTTTTTGCCTGATACCATTTCCCTGTTGTGGTTTCCATATTGGTCAGTGTGTTTTTCTGTATGCTTCATTGGACTCAGAGTATCTCTATTTCCCTGGCTTTGGCTAGTTCTCTCATTTCTCCGTATCTCTGCAATCTTGTCTATGACTTGTTTCTGTTTATGATTTTTCCTATATCCTTGCGTTAGCCTGGCCACTCTAAGGACTGGTATCATGCTCTGTACTGTATTCTGTATTTTTTTTATCTAAGCTTTGTGTGGTAGGGTATTGTATTCCTGACATTACAAGAGGGCCATGGATCCTGCAGGCATAGGTCAGCAAGTAGCATATGAAAATAAAATTGAGAAATTGGACCATAGAATGGCTCAGGTGCTCCAGACTTTTCTGACATGCATGACTTTTTTGACACCTAAGAGTCAGGCCACTGCCTTTCCTCCACTTATGCCTGTAATGATGAAGTCTTTCAGTGCTCCAAGTCCTACAGTGCATTTGACTCCTCCTTCTAGATATGGTGGGGATCCTACAACCTGTAAAGGTTTCCTTCGTCAGACCGGTTTTTACTTGGAAAAGTCCTCATAATTTCCTACGGATCGTGCTAAGGTTGTTTTTCTTTGTAAATGTTAGGTCTTTGCGAGCGGCGGCTTCTTCTGGCCATGCACCGCTCACGGCACCCTCAGCTCACCGCAAGCCGAGGCTTCTAAAACCTGCGTCCCGCTCGTGGCAACTTCACTGTGCCGCCTGCTGCGAGCGGGGGGCTCCAGTGCTTCCTCGCCGCTCCCAGCTGTTTACGGTCCTGCTGGCAGTGTTTATGATGTTACACACTCGCATGCAGCGTCCTTAAATAAGCGTCCGAGTCAGCCACCTGACTTGGCACGCTTTGATGACATCACAGGACTAAGTGGAAGGTCAAAATACCTTCCACGTGTTGTAATAAATTCTAATTTAAACTTAGCCAATCAGGTTTGCCCTAATCCTATTTAAACTTATCTCCCCCTAGCATTGGTGTCTTATTGTGGTCTTTGTTAGCCCAATAGTGCGTTACTCTGTGTCTGATTATTCTGGTTATCGAACTTTGGCATGTCTCTCGTTTACGCTGTCTTCTTTGATCCTTTACCTCGGCCTGTCCTTTCGTCTATCGTCTTTCTGTTGTCCTTGATCTCGGCTTGTACTCTGACAACTCTCTCTCTCTTTTTTGCATAGCCCAGCCACTCTAAATATTACTTAGTATTAGTAAATTCTGACCCTACTCGCTATATCTTAAAAAAACCAAAAACCTGAGCGGCGGATGGGGGCCTAAATCAGAAAAGGGGGGGCCTATTGTCCTCCCTCCCGGTCCCCAACCCTGAGCGGCGGGTGGGGGCCCTGAAGTAAAATGGGGGGGGATCTATTGTCCTCCCCCCGGCCCCACACCTGAGCGGCTGGTGGGGGCCCTAAAGTAAAATAATGGGGGTGGGCCCTGAGCAGTGGGTGGGGGCCCTAAATTAGAACTAGAGACTTACATGTCAGTGTCTTCATTTACCTGTCAGAGCACTCTGATTGGATGGCTTAAACCCACCAATCAGAGTGCTCTGAGCCTAATTGCAGGGCGGGGCAATGCTTTTTAAGCCTTCCCCCGCCCTGCAGAGTTCAGTCTACATGGAGCCCTCCCTGGGTAGGGGCCGGGGGGAGGACAATAGTTCCCCCCTTTATTTTACTTTAGGGCCCCCACCCGCCGTTAAGGGGTGGGGGGCGGGGGGGCAATAGGTCCCCCCTTCAGGTTAAAATCCCCCACTCGAGTGGCTTGGGAGGGGGGTCTTTTTTTTTTTTTAGTGAGCAGTGCTCACTGTTTAATAGACATGCCCCTGCTCGCGGTATAGCGAGTAGGGGCATAATTTACTAATACTAAGTAATCTTTACCAAGTAATCTTTTACCAATTCAGATCTTTCAGCCTTTTAGTAGATAGCTCCCTAATACCGTGGGAATTAGGGAGTTATCTACTTATTCATTCCTGTCATTACATTGACTGGCCAAGTAACTTACATTTTTCATGAATGTGTGTTACTTGATTGTTGTAAGTGTTGCAAATGCTTACAGCTGAATCCTGGCTATGTTTGTATACTTTTTATTTAAAATTGTATACAGTGTAACATTCTTCTTCTTCCACTGGGTAAGTATATTAGTACTTAGGCAATACTGTGCTTCGAAACTTCGGCACTTTGACACTTCGGAACTTCGACACTTCGGGACCTCGGCAATTCAGCACTTCGGCTATTCGGACATTCAGAAGTACCCAAATGTCTGAATTGCTCGAAATTCGTCCAAATTCATATTTGGACCGAAACGAATTGCACATGTCTACTATTCTTGTCATTGAAACATAACCCTAATATAGATTGGGAATCTGGCGACATATTGTCTTGAGGCTCAAGTTGTCAAGATCACTATTTAACCAAGATCTATCCTCTACATGCTATTAAAGTGCTTACTGCTCCTCCTCTCAAATTTCTCCTCAGTATTCTTCTGTAAAGGACATGTTTGACAAAAAAGAGGCCAGTAAGGTAACACCCCACAGGTCATATGATTGTACTATTAATCTTGTACCTACCACTATACGCGCAGAGGAAGGTTATATCCTTTGTAACAAGAAAATGTGATAATGGAAGAGTACATTAAAGAAGCCTCAAAGAAAGCTTTTCTTTAAAGGTCTTCTCCTGATGAGACGAGCTTCTTTTTATTTCTAAAGGGATGTTTTGAGACCCTGTTTAGATTATAGTGGTCTCAATAAAATCACCATACTAAATGCTTACTATATCCCTTTGATTTCCGAGTTATTCGATATAGCTTTATAGGTGCTCGTTTCTTTACCAAACTTGATCTTTGAGGAATTTACAATCTTATTCTCATAAAAGAGACACCTTCGCACTTGTGAAAATTTTTTACGTTATATCCATAGCTGGTGTCACGGTTCTCACCGTGACCACCCCAGAAATGCCCAACAGGGGATTTGAACCTGAGGCCTTATATATCCCAAGCCTGCATTCCTGCCTTTAAGCCACTATTCAGCTCGTTTTTCTGCCTATGTTCTATCCTGTCTTGTCTGCAGCACTAGGGGGCTGAACTTCACCAATGGCTCTCACCTATCAATCTCAGCCCACCTGAAGCTGATGGCCCACCTCTCCCTGAGGACAGTGTCAGTTCATTGACTCTGGTTCTGCTGTCTGGTTCCTGTTTTTGTGTATCCAGATCGTTTGCTCCTGGCTCCTGACCTTGGCTTATTTGCATTGTGTATCCTGACTTCTGGCATCCCCTGACCTTGGCTTTCTTACCGTGTATCCTGACTTCTAAAACCCCTTCAGTGACTTACCTGTATCCAGCGCCGATGCCCCTTGGCGCTGGGTCAGGGTCCGCCCACGCTCCTCCCCCACCGACGTCATTTCCAGTTGTTCATTGCCCTTTCGTGGTTTCCATCCTATTGGTTATCCAAGAGCGTGTTCCTGATTCTGTTTATTGGTTTTTGATCTTGGCTTGGCTTGGCTTGACTTCCCCTATTTCTGGTATCCCTGACCCTTTGACTTTGTTTTTACCGGATTTGTTCCTTTCTGTATTCCTGACCTCGGCTCATGACTGTTTATTCTATTACGTTAATTCCGTCCATTCTGAGGCCCGGTAATACGTTGTTACTGTTTGTCTTTGTTACATGTTTTACTTAATTCTACGTGTTTGGCCACTGGTTCCTCCTGACAAGGAATCACTGCATGAAATTATTGAATATGGCAAGCCATGACGACACTACTCTTGTGCACCTGACGTCATGGGATACCTTAATATGAGATCCAGTAAGTAACCGTTCCTGCTCTCCTATCCAGAGGATTTGGAGGCGTAGCTTGAAGCAGCACATCCAAGCTTTCTAATATTGAAATAAATGTATCGGGGGCACTAAGAATGGTGAATATAGGATAGGCACTGTAACAACTTCATTTAGATTACTTTGTTGTGAGCCTGACAGAATTGATCAATTTAAATGTTGTTTTTTTTTTTTATTTCTTTCATTTATATTTAAATAAGAACAACAAATTTTATTATCTTTCCTGTTTTCTAACAAGGAAAGAGGTGCATGCAGTGCCCTGGTGGACCAGTAGTGAGAAGCAGTCTGCACCCACCGGACATGCAGACTTGAATGTATTTAGACTGCCGCTGATTTAGGGTGCACTGGGTTTTTTACCTCCCCACCGACCCATCAAGGTATACAACAACTGCATCATCACGGTCAACCTGCTGTTGACAATTAGCCCAATTTAATCCAGGTTGACCAGCTTTTGAACAGATTGCTTGATGTCCAGTCTGGATCATCACTACAGTACCATTTTAGATTTATTGTAGGCATGTTTTATTCTGCCATTTTTAATTCTTCAGGTTTTTTTAAAATTTTTATTCTGTTGATAATTTTTTACTTTGTAAATGTTTTTTTTTTTTCTTGTGAGTTACTTTCACTTATATTGAGCACAATTACAGGTTAAAAATAGGAGTGTTAATGCACCATTAGTAGAATTCACAGGCAATATAAATATCTGTTTGCTAGCATTGATCACATGACTGTTTTTTAAATCAAATTATGAGATACTTTTTATTATAATTATTATTACAATTCTACAGTAACAGTTATAACAAAGTAAACATATTCAAACAGATACATTTTAATAGACATAGATAAAACTTACATTTTAATAGTGTTCCTTGTTTTTTATTTTTGCTTTTCAGATATTAAGGTGCTCTACACTATTTTGGTGGTGTTTATTGTGATATAATTTAGTCACTATGGGTTAACACTCACCCAACCCCTCATCAGGTACACACATGTTTATTACCTTATAGTTCACTCTTATTTTTTGAGGCATTATAATTAGGATATTATATGTAATGAAATTGATAACATAATAAATAATACACATTAGCTCAACACATAAAATGTATTTTTTGTAACTAACAGAAACTTCACATGGTAACGTCACAACACTTATTTATTATCCTTATTAATTAACTATGCAAAAGGCACTACCAGGCATTTACAAATATGGATCTAGCTTGGATGGTGCTATCACTGAAGCATGCAGCAGCAACATGTTGTGGGATATGGGAAACCTTAGCACCATCGTCTTGGGCTAACAGAGCAGGAACAAGGCTAGAACATATTTTACACTTCTTATATAATTGGCCCCTGACACCTGTCAAAGAGTATTGCCAACGAAATGGTGCCCTTTACCGGTTCTAAGCTATTACTAATCTTCCTGCATGCCCTGTTGTAAGATTATTTACTCTCCCTCAATACCTGAAACCAGCTTTATAAATATAGAAATTGAAAACAATTTCAGTCCATATATGTGTCATTTTTTGTCATCATTTTAGTGCTGTCTTTCCAGTAAGGACAAGGACATGCTTTTTTTTGAGTTAGTATATTGCAGACATACACATGCACATGTATGTAACTCCTACCCCACCATTGAGCATTACTAAACTTGCAAGGTGCACTTAGCTTCATGGGAATCTATTTTATCTGGCATCTGTAGATTTGCATCCTCACTTTCATTTACATTGCTTGAGAGTTATCTTTTTGTATCTGTTTTTATTTCTGTCGGTGTTATGTTATTTGTATTTATTATATACAGATGAAATCAGAACGACCCTTATGATCTTACTGCTGAGTGATGTAACTATTCTGTCATGGTTTTCCAGTAGTTGAGGACCCATGGTAAAATAATTTTGTCATGCTGATATTTTATATTACCAGAAGGTACTGTTTTCCTACTAGTATTGAGGAAGGAAATAGTACCTGGGGCTCCCCTCAGCCAGCTGCAGTCATCATTAGTGGAATGAGTAGAGGGTGATCAGTGCTGGACTCTGCGTTTTGCCCTCTGCCTATGACTGTGTCGTCACCCTGTCAGTTTCTTATATCATATTATAAATAATAATAAAGTGCGGGGATTTCTGTGTTTAAATCATATTATAACAGCTCATCATGATTTGATTTAGCAGCCGAGAAGGAAGTAATGCCTCTCATGCTGGGAGTGCATAGTGCGGGGCAGGGCCGGACTGGGAAAAAAATTCGGCCCGGGCATTTTTTTATCACAGCGGCCCACTAAGAAGGGGGCGGGGCAGAGAGGGTGTGTTTTGTCATCACTCATGACAAACACGCCTCCTCTCAAAGTGAGCATGTTGGTTCAATGCTCTTCCAGGGCAGACCATGCACAGAGCTCTGCTGAAGAGCTCTAGCATGAGAAAAAAGCCCTGTATTTGTTCTGTGCCGTGCAAGCAAATTTAATAACATGCTTGCACTGTGTTTCCTTGCAACTTGTCTCTGGTGTCTCTATAAATGGATACCAGGAGACAAAAGGGCCAGGAAAGAGTATTGTGCATGTGTTTGGAGCCTGCTTGGGATATTGCGTGTGTACAGAGTGAGCTGGTCGTGGTGTGGTATTGTGTAATAAGGTCGCTTTTAGTCGTGTTGTGTTTGTGGTGTAATGTAATGCATATGTGGCTAGGGGCTTTAGAGAATGTGTGTTTAGGGGATGTAGCAAGTGTGGTGATGTAGTGTTTGTAGAGAGTGTGTGTTCAGGGAATGTAGTATGTGTTTGCTTACAAGGAATCTAGTGTGCGTATAGGGGATCCAGAGTGTGTGTGTGTTTGAAGGACCCAGAATATGTATAGGAGATCTAGTGAGCGTGCGTATATAATGGATTCAGAGTGTATATAGGGATCTAGTGTGTGTATGTGTGTAGATGATCCAGAGTTGGGTAGAGGATCTAGTGTGTGTCTGGAATGAAATGTGTTTAGGGGTGCTGTGTGTGTGTGTGAGGGGTGCTGTGTGTGTAGGGGTGCTGTGTGTATATTTATATGTGTATATATATTATATAAATATGTTTGGAAGTATTGTGTATGTGTGTGATGCAGTGTATCGGGGGGTTGTGTGTGTATGTGAGGGGTGCAGTATGTGTGTGTGATGGATCCTGTGTGTGAGGTGTGGGTGCTGTGTGAGGGTGCTGTGTGTGTGAGGGTGCTGTATGTGTGGGTGCTGTATGTGATTGATTTGTGTGAGGGTGCTGTGTATGATGTATGTGAGACTGTTGTGAGTGCTGAGTGTTATGTGTTTGAGAGTGATGTGTGAGAGTGTTGTGTGTGATAGTGCTGTGTATGTGTGTGAGAGTGCTGTGTGAGAGTGCTGTGTGTGTTGTGTGTGAGAGTGCTGTGTTTGTTGTGTGTGAGAGTGCTGTGTGTGTTATGTGTGAGAGTGCAGAGTGTGATGTGTGTGAGAGTGCAGAGTGTGAGAGTGCTGTGTATGATGTGTGTGAGAGTGATGTGTGTGTGTGTGAGAGTGCAGAGTGTGATGTGTGTGAGAGTGCTGTGTATGATGTGTGTGAGAGTGCTGTGTATGATGTGTGTGAGAGTGCAGAGTGTGATGAGTGTGAGTGCTATGTATGATGTGTGTGAGAGTGCTGAGTGTGAGAGTGCTGTGTATGATGTGTGTGAGAGTGCTGTGTATGATGTGTGTGAGAGTGCTGAGTGTGATGTGTGAGAGTGCTGTGTATGATGTGTGTGAGAGTGCTGAGTGTGAGAGTGCTGTGTATGATGTGTGTGAGAGTGCAGAGTGTGATGAGTGTGAGAGTGCTGTGTATGATGTGTGTGAGAGTGCTGTGTATGTGTGAGAGTGCTGTGTATGATGTGTGTGAGAGTGCTGTATGTGAGAGTGAGTGCTGTGTGTGAGAGTGCTGAGTGTGAGAGTGCTGTGTATGATGTGTGTGAGAGTGCTGAGTGTGATGAGTGTGAGAGTGCTGTGTATGATGTGTGTTGGGGGGGTAAATAAAGAAAAAAACAAACAAAAAAACTAAGTAGACATTAAATCCCGCCCTCCCTCTTACCTTTAGCCTGGGAGGGGGGGACAGGCACGTGGTAGCTGAGGGACAGGCACGTGGTAGCTGGGAGGGGGGACCGGCACACTCACATCATCCCTGGTGGTCCAGTGGTGAGTGAGGGCTAGAGTTCACTCTCGCGAGATCGGCGCGTTGCCATGGCAACGCGCCGGATCTCGCGAGAGAAACCGGGCGGAGCTACAAGATAGAGCTCCGCCGGGTCCTCTTCCTCCCTCACCAGCCGCAGGTCTGTTTAAATGGGCCGGTGAGGGAGATCTTTGATCTCCCCACCGGCCCTCCATGGCAAACAGCTGGGCCGGCGCTCGGATAGTGCCGGCCCTGCATAGACCGGCAGGGGAGATCCTGAGACCTCCCCTGCTGGCCTCGGCCCATGGCCACCGCGGCCCACCGGGCATTTGCCCGGTGTGCCCGATGGCCAGTCCGGGCCTGGTGCGGGGTGCTCAGTAATATCAGCAGAGAGAATCCATCTAACACTTAGTTGATTGTTAAAGGGACACTGTACTCACTATAATCATTTCATCTCTTTGAATTGGTTATGATGCCTGGAGTCCCCTGGCACTGTCTCTCCACACAATGTTAATTCATTTTAGAGCAGTTTAACACTAAATAAGGGATCCAGGCCACCCACAGTCTGGCCTCTTCCGCAGGTGTGGCCAAGGCAGAGATTACACACTTCCTTGTAGTCATACCCTTCATACCGTCAGTTGCAGCTCTGATAGGTTAAAAACAGACAGCTGACACTCTCAGCCAATCATAGCTGCCCATTGCTGCTCAGGCTAATACTTCCTCATACTCCAGGCAGCACAGAGGGGAGGGGCTGCCTGGAGTATGAGGAATTTAGCATTGAAATAAAAAATATGAAAAACTGTTTAATGCTGAATGACATTATGGAACTTGGGAACTCCGGACACTATAATCAGTTTAATGAAATGAAGCAGATACAGTGCCTACAGTGTCCCTTTAATGTAAGCATTTAGGGTTAGTGTTAGTTTTTAAGTTTAGGGCTAGTTAGTCTTGTTGGACTATTATAGTTTTTTCCTGGTGTCTACAACGGGTGACTGTAGAATACCTAGGAAACAATTGCGCATACATTCTGTAACTGGCACCACATCATAAGAATTCACCATTTATAATCACATCAGTAAAGGACATGCATGTAGAAACCCTCAATACTAGACACATAACCTGTTAGTCAAGCAGATTCTGAGAAAACCAAGACATTGGAAGGAAAATTTTCAGTATCTCAAAGTGCTCCATATCTGGTGCCACAAGAGAAAATATATATTTTATTTTATTATATAATTTTTTTACTTTTATTGTAGCTAAAAGTGGAAATCCATCACTATCTCAGAGTTACTTTCCAGATCTCTGCACAACCTTCCACAGGGCATCTTTAATTTCTCTGTTTCGCAGGCTATAAATCATAGGGTTCAGTAGTGGTACCACAACAGAATAAAAGACTGAGACAACTTTGTCTATAGGAGAAGAATTCTTGACTTTAGGACGGATATACATAAATATAACTGTGCTAAAAAATATTCCAACAACAATAAGGTGAGATGCACAGGTGGAAAATGCTTTCTGTCGTCCAACCGAGGAAGGTATTTTCAAGATGGTGGTTACCACAGCAATGTAAGACAAGAAGGTAAAAAGGAAACAACCAAGAATGATTGTCCAAGCCACTACAAAGAAAATTATCTCATTAAGCCAGGTATCTGTGCAGGACAAGCGCAGCAGAGGACTAAAATCACAAAAATAGTGATCAATTGTGTTAGGTCCACAGAAGACAAGTCTTGACATCATGGCAGCTGGCAGAGAAATTGAAAAACAGCCAGCAAGCCACGAACCAAATGCCAGTTGTCCACAGATAGCTCTATTCATAAGTTGTGTGTAATGCAGTGGATGACATATAGCCAGGTATCGATCATATGCCATTATGGTCAAAAGGAAATGTTGGGTAGCTCCTAGGAAGAAGAGAAAATAGAATTGTGAGATACATCCAATAGAAGAAATAGTTTTATTTCCTGTTACCAGGTCTCGTAGCATCCTGGGGACAGTGGTAGTAGTGTACCATATCTCTAGGAATGAGAAATTGCCAATAAAGAAGTACATGGGTTTATGGAGTGATCTCTTTGTTGTGATCAGTGTAACAATGAGAAGGTTCGACACTACAGTCATTGAGTAGATAATAATGAACAAGATGAAAAGAAACAGGAGGATTTCTTGAGGCAAAGAGAAACCCAAAAGGATGAAACTGGTCACTGAGCTGTGGTTAGTGTTCCTCATTGTGTTAAAGCACCATGGTAGAAATCATTACTGCAAATATTGTGTGCAAAACTTAGATGCAAACCCCTAAGACACAGATGCAGAAAGGCACATTGGAATTAATGTATATTCAACTTTGCAATAAATACAGAATGCATCCACCAATTCTACAGATATACAGGAAATAAAAAAGTTGTATATTTACAATGTTATTTTTTGCCAGTAAGAATCAATTTTAATAATTTACATTTATAAGGCGGAACATATAATAACACACTTTATTATATATATCAAAAACAGCTTGCAAATCATTTGTATTGCTAATAAAGGCCTCAATTTAATATTTGGCTAATCTTTTAAAATGATCACAGTCTGTTAGAAAAAAAAACCAAACATTTAAAATGATTTATCGAGGGGGCGTGTCCTGGACGCAACTCGAAGCAGTCGCATGTAGTTGCTGCTCTGTCCTAACGGGACCGATCAACTGAGTAATTGCCACAAACCTGAGCCCAAACCGACCATGTCCCAGCCTAAAGGGAAGCAGAACACAGAAAGACAAGAAAAAACAATTTCTTTGCCTCCAGACCAGGCCCCCGACCGCAATGGAAGCTGAACCAGCCCTTACAAAAACATTACTACAACAAATGCTGGATGACATGTCAGCTAAGCTGCTTACCAACCTCCATGCAGCACTGACCGATATACGCCAGGACCTGCATGATTTGGGCACCAGGACCTCCACTACTGAAGACAAACTGGCGGAGCTGGAGGAGGCCCACAACACCATGGCGGGGAAAATGAACAGCCTGGCAAATAAGCTGGACCAACTAGAAACGAAAATCGCTAAAAAAAACGCAGAGACCAAAGAGACATCACTGGAGTGCTACAAGCGAACCGCCAGCTTACCGCTGGGGATACCCGGTGAAACTGCTGGTGCATAGGAACAACAAGACGGCGACAATTTCCACGCTGGCTTAAGGTCTGCACTTACTTCGCAGCTGGGGCTACATGATCCTGGAACAGCCGAGAGCCTCCCAAGACACCACAAGGATCACGCCGGGATGGTCGGAGACCCAACGAAGAGGGTGCTAAAGCACAGCAGCAGGAGAGGAAATTTTTGACATTCATATCCAACAGATTACTACATATGCTCACAGAACTTTTGCCAATATATGATGCGAATATACCTAGCCGGCCACGGACAGTCATGCAGTGATGAAGGTACTTCCCTGCGAGGGTGGGGGAAGGTAG